GAGAGAGTGTGTGAGTGTGTGAGAGGTGTGAGAGGTGTGAGAGTGTGTGAGAGAGTGTGAGAAGTGAGAGAGAGTAGAGAGAGTGAGAGAGTGAGAGAGTGTGTGAGAGTTTGAGAGAGTGTGAGAGTGTTGAGTGTGAGAGAGTGAGAGAGTAGAGAGTGAGAGAGTGAGAGAGAGTGAGAGAGAGTGAGGAGAGAGTGTGAGAGTGTGTGTGTGTGAGTGTGTGAGAGTGTGAGAGAGTGTGTGAGAGTGTGTGTGAGTGTGTGTGAGAGTGTGTGTGAGAGAGTGTGTGAGAGTGTGTGTGAGAGAGTGTGTGAGAGAGTGTGTGAGAGAGTGAGAGAGAGTGTGAGAGAGTGTGAGAGAGTGTGTGTGTGAGAGAGAGTGAGACATTCAGGAGATTATGTGTCAGACTTTACCACAAACAACCAAACTGCCCCCAGCAGCACGCCCCGGCCGGCTACCAACCAAACTCTGGAGGAAATTCTGAATATTAAAGAATTACAACAATTTCACATTTCTTTATTTTGTTTCTATTTCCTCTCCCTAAATGATGTTCTGCAGATATATAATATATAAAGTATTAAATTCTATTCATTTTACTTAAAGGTGTCAGAAATAGAATATAATATTCATAAGTATGTTTTCATTAGTGTATGAGAATAAGAGTCATTCTGTGTTTGTTACCTTAGAACGAGCTGTTTTTATCTCCAGAGGGAGCGGGTCCTCTTCTACAGAGTCCGACATGTTGAACCGCCATGGTTTTGCGATCACCGGTGTTTCTCCTCCAACACTTGGAACGGGAGGGTGAGGCGAGGGTGTTACAGATGTTAGATGCCACTAAATCTACACACTGGACCTTTAAATGTGTTTGTTTTTATCCTTCAATACAATCAAATCTACAGAAATCTACACACAATGGCTTCATGTCACGCTCACTCTTACGATTTATTTAGTTTCAGCTAAAGATCAGCGTCAGTTCTTGTGTTCATCTGGTTGGAGGCAAGTTAAAGATCAGTAGTTACACTCAGATCTCTACTCACAGATGGGTGCTGCTATAACAACTTATATACAGACTGCCTGGAACAATAATGTGTGTCTGATATTAAAGATTAATTCCCACATTAAATCCTCAGAAAGTCATCGCTCCTACCTCATTAAAGATTCCTCACAGGTCCGTGATGCAGTCTCAGTTAATGTCATATATTAACAGTTAATAGTGTTAATGTGTGTCTCAGTTAATGTCATATATTAACAGTTAATAGTGTTAATGTGTGTCTCAGTTAATGTCATATATTAACAGTTAATAGTGTTAATGTGTGTCTCAGTTAATGTCATATATTAACAGTTAATAGTGTTGATGTGTGTCTCAGTTAATGTCATATATTAACAGTTAATAGTGTTAATGTGTGTCTCAGTTAATGTCATATATTAACAGTTAATAGTGTTAATGTATGTCTCAGTTAATGTCATATATTAACAGTTAATAGTGTTAATGTGTGTCTCAGTTAATGTCATATATTAACAGTTAATAGTGTTAATGTGTGTCTCAGTTAATGTCATATATTAACAGTTAATAGTGTTAATGTGTGTCTCAGTTAATGTCATATATTAACAGTTAATAGTGTTAATGTGTGTCTCAGTTAATATCATATATTAACAGTTAATAGTGTTAAAGTATGTCTCAGTTAATGTCATATATTAACAGTTAATAGTGTTAATGTGTGTCTCAGTTAATGCCATATATTAACAGTTAATAGTGATGATGTGTGTTTGAATGAATCAGAGTGAAACATTTGTCTGTACGCACTGTGAGTGAATCTGTTCGCTGTGGTTGGAGGATGTTTGTATTGTATATACAGTGTTTGTGTTTGTTACAGACAGATGGTCTCGCTGTTTGTTTACTGACCACCAGGACACTCCCTTATGCCTCAATGTGTGTGTGTGTGTGTGTGTGTTACAGTGACCCTCCCCCAGCAGTACAGTCCACTGAACAGCCAGAGGGTGAATCCTTACAGTGACCCCCCCCCCTTACATCCAGAGCCTCCAACAGATTTTATATTCTATGTTATATATATGATATTTAGGGGAGAACAGGGTTGTTTGTCACACTTTTGGCTTTCCTTTGAGGAACGGACTCTAACAGATTCCCTCTCAATGTGTACAGGAAGCCTGAAGGTAGAGTGTCCTTTAAAAGATACAGAGCAACAAATACAACATTGGCCGTCCCTGTGTTAAACCGTAAACTTTCTATAAAATGCACAGACACATTTCCTGCATCGAGAGAACATAAACAGGAGGAACTTCTCTGTTAGCAGCTCTGTGAGGTTGTACTGAAGTACAGCAATGCTAACATGCTCAATCTGACAATGCTAAGAAACCAACATGAATGTCATTAGTTCTGCAGGTTTTTGGTTATAAACAAATTAAGACAAATTAAGATTTTGACCTGATGATGATTAAAGATCTGAGGATCTCCAAAGTAAGAGCTACCGGTCCTTTTAGTGATCTGTGCCTGTGTTTGTGCAAAAACTGACCAGAATTAAAATATCTTCTCCCTTCTCTCCCTCTTCTTTTCTACACGCTGCTGCTGAAGAACAGCAGGGTTGGTTTCCTCCAGCTGCTGTTGAAGAGAAACAGGTGAGTTAGTTCTGCCTCTGCCATGTAGTCCGAGTGCACGTGAACAGACGATAGCACTGATTAGTTTTTAATCTGAAACAGCCCCAGGAGCATCGACTGTTTCTTTTCTCTTCCTGCCAGGAGAGTAGAATCCAAAAGATCCCATCTGGCTGCATCACGAGTTAACTTTCCATCACAGGCGGAGGCAGAGGGAAGCTGGACGGAGAGAGAGTGAAACAAAAAGGGTCAGAAAATGACATTTATTCCAGTTTGTGTGTAAAGATCTGGAGCTGTGCAGTAAACACTGAACACAGCAGCCTCCTGCACATTGTAGCCCTCCTTTTATCCTCTAATGTCTCTGTAAGATGTTTTACACTTTAATAACAACAAGTAACTCATTTCCTGCTACTTTACACTCCTACACTGCAAACATGGTTAGAAACAAGCCAGATATTCTTTAATATATAAAAACTAGCCACTGAAAGTCTGTAATGGGCTTTAAAAGTAGAAAACATTTAAAGAAGTTGTGTTTATTACAAGCAATGAAAACTCATTTAAGATTCTTAAAAAAGGTATTTTGGTCTCTATTGATTTGAAAATAAGGACTGTAATATAAGATCAATAATTAGCAAATAAAATCTTACAATAAGACACAATTTCTTCAAACAGCAGAATAAAAATCAGTGATTTTGTCTTTAATGAAAGCACCAGAAACATTTTTATATTTATCATTTTAAACTTTAAACTCAGAAGTTGTGTGAGTGCTCTTACTCTGAAAACAAAGACAATAATCATACAACCATTGTTGTTACTGGTTTATTAGCTGTGATATCTTATTAACACACAGTTATAGTTTATAGTTTAAAATTAATGCAAAACATGCTCGATAAGATTCTTTTTCTTTTTAGACTGAAAATAAGATTAATTTCTCAGAAACGTTTTGACTTTCTTGGGATTCCTGATACCTGCTTTAATTTCCATTAAACCTTTTAATGAGATATGGTTGTGGCGTGGGAACTGTACGCCTCCCAGACTCAGAGATTATACAACCGTCGTACAGCAGCACTTCCTCCACCACTGAGCGCCAGCGGACCGCAGCGTATTTGCATAACCACAGTTTAAACTGTCCGTATAATCCAGTTTCCCCACGCATGCAAATAATTTGTTTAAATTTGGGCATTGAAATCACACATTTGTTTTGTATTGTTAGTTTGTTAGAAGGGGAATAATAATAATATACTTTATTGTCCTTCACAGGAAATTTGTCACCGCAGTCTGTTCATGCATACATAGATACGAAGAACAGAGAAAAACACATGTGGACACTGCGACATAACAACAAGAGTAAACACTTAATACAGTACATTTAGCACATTTACCACACCCTGTCTTATACACCAACTCACAGCTGTTAACGGGATGCTTTGTTTAAAGATGCTATGGCAGAAGGTACAAAGCTCCTGCCAGCCTCCTGTCCTGTATCTGCGTCGGGATGGCAGCAGTTTGAAGAAAGAGTTGAGGGGGTGGCTGGGGTCGCGTGCTATACTGTGTGCTCTACGTGTAATGGATATATTGTTCAGGTCTGAGAGGTTGGGAGTGGGGAGACCAATGATTTTGGAGGTGTCAGTGTGTTTCTATTCGAGGCAGTTAACATGTTGTAGAAGCAGGTTGAACAGTAGAGGATGACAGGTTGGACTATTCTTTTATAGAGTAGTAGCAGAAGTTGGGGGGCAACAGAAAGTGCATTGAGTTTGCGTATGACAGAGAGTCTTTGTTGGCAGCGTTTGTGGATGTCACTGGTGTGATGATCGAAGTTCAGTTTATTGTCCAGGATTAGTCCGAGGTATTTGATGGACTCCACAATCTCCACGGATTCACTGTTGATCATTCTAGGTGCTGTAGGAGGGAGTGAAGGAGGCATGCCACAGCGTCCTCAGTCCCCCTACTGGCCTTGTAGGCAAACTGATACGGGTCCAGATGTGGTTCAACAAATGGGTGGATGATATTAAGTATCAGTTTTTCAAGACATTTCATGATGATTGAAGTGAGTGCAACTGGCCGGTAGTTATTAAGTTCTGAGGGGCGGGGTTTTTTAGGTACTGGTATGATGGTGGATGTTTTCCAGAGGGTAGGTACTGAAGCGGTCCTGTAGGATTCCCAGAAGATGTCATGGAGGATTGGGGAGAGCTCTGTGGCGCAGACTCTGAGCACCCTGGCCTGGATGCCGTCAGGTCCCTGAGCCTTGCCTGGCTTACACCTGCTCAGCTGCATGGCGCCTGGTGTGTTGTCTCCGGGATTGGCGGGGTTTCCAGCAGAGGCTCGCAGTCCTCAGAGCAGTCGATTGTGTCTAACCTGGTGTAGAAACTGTTCAGGTCGTCTGCGAATGAGGTTGGATCATTTATTGTTGACAGTGTGGGTTTAGGTTTCTTAGAATAGAATAGAATAGAATAGAAAGCCTTTATTGTCACTGTACACATGAACGATGAGATTAGAAAGCCAACTCCAATGGAAGTGCAAAAAACAGTACAATTATCAAAATATATACAGTATAAACACAGGACATAAAGTAATGGTACAACAAAGGGAGGTCAGGTGCACAGTCCTGAGGAGTGTGTACATTTGCAAATAAATACGGAGCTATATACAGTGTTAAATATATAAATCTTGATTCTGTTTGTTCTGGTCCTAATGCACCTGTAGCGCCTCCCTGAGGGCAACAGGTCAAACGGGTCAAAGCCAGGGTGGGAGCTGTGTTTGATGGTTTTAGCTCTGTTGAGGCAGCGGGAGGTGTAAATGTCCATCAGAGAGGGGAGAGGGCAGCCTGTGGAGCCCCTCCCTGTCTGCAGCGGTGCAGCTGCTGTTACTGTGATACAGGATGTCAGCAGGCTCTCGGTGGATGAGCGGTAGAAGGTCAGCAGCAGACTGGAGTTTAGGTTGTAGTCGCTGTAGTAGACTGCTGTGATGTTCTCTGTCCAGGAGATGAGGACGTCAACGAAGTCAACGATGCTCTCTCTGGTTTGTTGGTGTTCAGATCGAGGTTATTCTCTGAACACCAGGCTGCCATCTGTCTGTCGGCTGCCTCAGAGATGATCCGACCAATGCAGCGTCGTCTGCGGACTCGATGAGATTGTGTTTGTGGACTGCAGTCGTAGGTTCTTGTTTTAAAAAGCAATAAATAAACTAAAATTATTAAAAGGAAATGTCATTCTTTACATCTTTGTAATAAAATAAGTCGGAGGGATAAAAAAACAACAACAAAAACCAATAAATTAAAAGTCTTTAAATTGTACTAAATGAGACACCTGTTGTTTTTGGTTAGGTGACCTCGTGACCTGTTGTTTACGTTGACGTAGCTCCGCCCCCCCCCGACCGTCCGCGTGCCGCTCACAGCGAGCTCAGTCTGAGAGAGAGGAGGCTCGCGACCAGCTCCGCCCCGCTAGTAACGGTTAATAACGGCTAGTAACGGTTAGTAACGGTTAATAACGGCTAACAACGGTCACCGTTAACGCGCTTGGATTATAACCGCCAACTTTTCGGCAGCTTCCGGAGCTAACGGCTGTCGGTAAGTAAGCTAACGGGCGAGTAACGGTCAGTTGAGTATCCGCTGTGGTTAACGGCCAGTAACCTAGTAACGGCTAGTTAGACAATTAGCTAACAGGCTAACTGTTGACGGTAACTAGTGAAGTGAAGTTAGCTCGGAAAAACAGCTTCATGTCGCCTCCGTGTGAGGCTGAGTCTATGGCGATGGTGTATTTAGTTACAGTGTTTGGTGTGTGTGTGTGTGTGTGTGTCTCTAGCGAGGGGACACGTCTCCCATAGTAACGGTTGCTAAGCCCAAGCTGTCTGTCTGGAGCTTATATTAGCATCCAGGCTCATTAATTAGGCAGCGTTTAACGTTAACCGCGAGCTCATCTGCAGAGTGTGTGTGTGTGTGTGTGTGTGTGTGTGGGCGGACAGCAGAGCCTCGGTAACCGTTACACTCAGCAGCAGATCTGAGCTCAGCTTTAACTATCGATTACTGTCACTGTCGATACTGTCGTTGGAGTCAGTTTGATTGACGTCAGAGAGTGTCTGATGAGGTAACAAGTCACCAGAGAACAATGTGACGTCTTCAATCGGGCGTTATCATTTATATATGCTAGTATTCAGTTTCAGGGTTCCCACGCATCCTGGAAAAACCTGGAAAAACCTGGAAATGTAGAGATTAGTTTTCCAGCCATGGAAACACAGTGAAAGTACAAGAGCTGTAATGTCTCACTATAATGATACGCCATCTTAAAATGTTTGTTTGCTACAGACAGCAACAAACGTCATCCTGGAAAATTCAATTAAGTTTGTCCCACACTAATTAATCAATCAGTGGCAATATCTGTCACAATGATATGACAGTTGTTCCATATTACAGGTTATAATTGATTAAACTGAACAAATAATCCAGGAAATAATCAGTGTCGTCCTGGAAAATGTGTAATTTAATTATTTAATTTTAGCCCGTCAGGTAAACCGAGGTTAGAGGATAACTGTAGTAAACTGTAGTGAAACCACCAGAGACGCTGCAGGAATAATGGTCTGAGGTCAGTGGAAAGTGTCCCATCAATACTGGGCGTACATACTGTAGGATAAGATATTACCTATATATATATATATATATATATATATATATATATATATATATATATATATATACCTGTGTAATGAGTGTGTTTAACTGCATGTTACTATCAGGACTGTAAGGGTTCTTCATATTGATCATTCTGAGGATGGGATCAATAAGTGTGCCTCTCCTCTGTGGCTGATATCAGAAGTTCAGTGTCATTGTGTAAAGTAGTCTTACTGATTATTACCGGCTGTGAATATCGAAGCTTTTTTTTATTAAAACGCCTTTTTTTCTCGTATTATTACGACTTTATTCTGGTAATATTATGACTTTATTCTGGTAATATTATGACTTTATTCTGGTAATATTATGACTTTATTCTGGTAATATTATGACTTTATTCTGGTATTATTACGACTTTATTCTGGTATTATTACGACTTTATTCTGGTATTATTACGACTTTATTTGGTAATATTACGACTTTATTCTGGTATTATTACGACTTTATTCTGGTATTATTACGACTTTATTCTGGTATTATTACGACTTTATTTGGTAATATTAGGACTTTATTCTGGTATTATTCGACTTTATTCTGGTATTATTAGACTTTATTCTGGTATTATTACGACTTTATTTGGTAATATTACGCTTTATTCTGGTATTATTACGACTTTATTCTGGTATTATTACCTTTATTCTGGTATTATTACGACTTTATTTGGTAATATTATTTATTCTGTATTATTACGACTTTATTTGGTAATATTCGACTTTATTCTTATTATTCGACTTTATTCTGGTAATATTACACTTTATTCTGTAATATTATGACTTTATTCTGGTATTATTATGACTTTATTTTGGTAATTTCCAGTGAAACCTGCTTATTGAGCCTGATTATTAGCTTAGCTTTACCTTTAGCTCATACTGTTTCTGTACAATTGGTTTTGGATTCAAACTGTTCTGCAGCTCGTGATCTGTGCAGTCAGTCAGTTATCTGTTTGGGTCGGAGCCAGATCGCCCAGAGGAAGCTCAACATCCATCCAAAGCACTCTGCCCACACACACACACACACACGCACACACACACACAGCTCCACACACACACACACACACACAGCTCACACACACACACACACACACACGCCACAGCACACACACACACACACACAGCTCACACACACACACAGCTCACACACACACACATGCTCACACACATGCACGCACACACACACACAGCTCACACACACACACGCACACAGCTCACACACACACACACACACACACACACACAGCTCACTGGCCTGCTGCCACAGAGAGAGATCACTGGCTGTTTCCATTAGATTCACACAGTTGGGTAACACAGTTTGACCGACCACACAGGTAGACAGCCAGAGAGAGAGAGAGAGAGAGAGAGAGAGAGAGAGAGAGAGACAGGCAGACAGGCAGACAGACGGGTGGCAGAGCTGGATCCAGGGTGTTGTCAGCAAACACAAAGTATTTAAATGTGAAGATGTTGACATTTATCAGTGAAGTTATGAGGTCTTTACTGTATTACTGTAGTTTAAAGCTTAGCTCTGTGCTGGACTGGCTTTACCCACACCCGGTCCGCACCCGATCCACAGCTGGTCCACACCCGGTCCACAGCTGGTCCACACCTGGTCCACACCCGATCCACAGCTGGTCCACACCTGGTCCACACCCGATCCACAGCTGGTCCACACCTGGTCCACATCCAGTCCACAGCCAAATCTGATGGACCAGAATCAATACAGGTGTCCACACAGCCTGTGTTTCAGTACAGTCAATGAAAATCTGACCAGAAATCAGTTTCTGTCTGGGTGCAATATCCAATCTGAAGATGCTGCAATGTTTCATAAAGCTAAACTGTGTGACAGCATTATAAAGACGTTCTGTAGTTCTTGTTCTCCACATGTAAGAAAACATGTTGGTTTAATGTCACCTGTTAATCCTGACTCCAACCACAATATCTGTCAGAATAATCCCAGTATGATTGTTTTACTGTATCCTGCAGCTTTGGTTACTACACTAATTGTGTATTGGACTCTGTACCAGCTGCAGTACAGGGCTGTCCCTGAACGCATCCTGTGGACTCTGTACCAGCTGCAGTACAGGGCTGTCCCTGAATGCATCCTGTGACACTGACAGGCTGCTTTCACTACCTGTTACCTTTCACACAACCTCAGTTCAGACAGTGGAAAATGCTCCCAGCTGAGCTTAAAACCCCCGTAGTCTTTCAGTCTTTCTCCCATGGTGTCAACAGTAATTTGACCGTGATTTAGATTTGTATTTGTAATGAAATGTTATAGTTGTAGTGGAGGATTGTGGGTATTTATGTGTATAATTGTACTCAGGGACTGTAGATGGAAATAAGCTAATAACTTAATGTGGCATAAATCATCTTTTCCTCGTTTTGTGTATGGTCCTTGTTTAATGAAGACTAATAAATAAAAATACTAATAAACTTACTTCTGTTTATACTGACCTGTTGAAATCCAGTCCTTGTTTTTATCTGTATCTTATTAATGCAGAAATATTATCTATGAGAGCGCTGCACCTCCCCGTTCAGCACCTCCTCCCTGCTGACCTGTACCGTGACTCCTCCTGTGGCCTGTGATTGGTTGATCAGTTGATGTGTGTCACATTCTGCTGCCATTGTGTGTTTGTGTTTATAGTCCTGCCTCATACATTGACACTATTGGATCCTGACCTGTAATAAAGCCTTGAAGACCACTGTATGATAACATCAGCAGAGAGTTAGACAGCTGTTACCTAACGGCCTCTGTCTAACGCAGTATCTGTCTGTCTGCTTGTTTGTGTCTGTTTTAATCCGTCTGCCTGTCTGGAAGGCGTGTCCTATCGGGTTGATTGCCAGTAAAGCGGCTCTATGATGGAGGAGCTTCACGATGTCCAGCTGACGGAGATCAAACCACTCCTGACAGGACAGGTGAGAGGGTGAGGGGGTGAGAGGGTGAGGGGGTGAGGCTGCTGACATGTTGCTGCCTGCAGTCTAAAGAGATTTAACACTTTATTTTAACAGATGTGGTCAAACAGTTGTTTTTTAATATATCCAATATCACATAAACAGGCATGTTCAATAAAATGACTTCCAATCAGATTATAAGATAAGAGTATTGATTACACATTTCCTCTCTGTCTCTTCAGAACGGGAGAAATCTCCAGGACTTTGACTGTCAGGTGAGTTCAGCACCAACACATCAGACCTTCAACCTTTGACCTTATGTGGTGCTGTGATCTGGATTCAGAGTGAATTACAGTAAGACTGTATGTTGATAAGATGAGCTTCATATTTCAGTATTATGGTTCTTAAAATGGAAACATATAAACATACATTGGTAATCATTTAAAAGGTTAAATATAAGAAATTCACTGCTACTGGAAGTGGCTGCAGACCACCAGCAAACCCTCCAGACTCCAGATAGACCTTCAGTTTAACCACAAACAGCTGTAACTTCATTCAAAGTGGACAGAAACAAGATATTGTCTTTGTTAGTCCACTGTTTCAGTCGCTCTACTCAAAGCTAACAGACTGTAAACAATGTAGTAGTGTTCTAGTTGTTCTGAATATAAATTTTATGTATGTATAACATATAACTAATAATGCGGCTTCATATCCCTAAAAGGTTATGTAAGTCAATGAACCATATTCATTGATAAAAGTATTTAAATTGAGTCATAAATAAAGAAAATGCAAAAATCTGACATGTTTTTTCATCAAAATTTTACTAAATAAACACACAAAACATATTAATCCAAAAGATTTCTGAACGTAGAAACATGAACAAAACATTTCTTAACACAACTAACATTATTTGAACCATGTACATTTTTTAGTTTTTGGGATATGCTCATTTTTACCACTTTAAACAGGATCATGCAAACAACGATCTCCCGCGGCCAGGTAGGGAGGTCCGTTTTGAAAGTCCTCCATTTCCTGCTACTTTATACTTTATTCTGTTCACTACATTTCAGAAGCAAACTTCAGTTATCAGTCGTCCTACTCCACTACACGTGTAAACCTGAAGTCGCTAGTTACAGATTCAGATTATTAATACAAGATATAAGCAGCAAATAAATGATGCTTTATTGATTCCCAATCAGTCAGTTTCCAAGCAACCCGGCAGTATTCAAACCTTGAGCTGCAACCTGAAATACATGAATTATACTCCAATAATATAATGTACATTAGTAAAGTTTGATGCTAATAGTGTATTGTTACTTGAAACAGAGTATTTCTACACTGTGGTTTTGCTATTTTAACTTAAATATAAGATCTGATTTCTTCTTCCACCACTGAGTTAAACTGACAAGGAGACGTCAGAATCTGTCTGACTCAGCTGATGTGATTAACCATCGATTGATTGTCACAATGCGTGTTTGTTTATTGGTAAATATTAAGAACAGCACGGTTAAAATAAAACTAGTTTTTCACAAGTCATAGGGGGAGATGTGTGAGGAAAACTCTGTGTGCAAGCTGTCAAACATCAGGCTGAAGTTAGTTGGATAACCGTCAGCTCCACACACAGGTATTGATCCGGGGACTCATTGGACTGACGTCAGTACAGCAGGTCAGCCTCATCAATGCCTCTGATCAGAGAGTTCTTTTAAATTAGAGCACAGAGGAACAGCTCTGCCTCTCCGTCTCTGAAACATCCTGTGAAACATCTATCCCTATCAACAGCACTTCATTCAGGAGCTGAGTCCTTCCAATGAACACAAAGAAGTACATTAATAGAAGTGTTTGTCAGTAGGCTACCAGATAATCCTTTATGGGTCAAACACTGGCTGGTAGGAATATAACGATATTTAAATCGTGATACAAATATGTGAAGATCCAAAACAGAGTGTGGACGATGAAGTGCAAAGACATCAGTTTCACTTCTGCTTTTACTTATATTTATATATGTTATCTCTCCTACCTCAGAAAGAAAAAAGGATTCTTTAATTTAATAACAAAAACTATAATAGAAATAGAAATATTCTGTAGGAATAAAGGAATCTTTCAGTCATAATTAATTGCTATTTCAATTTAAAACATTTTGAATTAGCTCTTTTAAATGTTAAAAAATCTCCTCTTTGCAACATCATAATATAAAGAGAGAGAAGTAGTAAGAGTTTTAATGTCAGTCTGACGGTCCTTCGTCAGTCTGCCTCTGTGCATGGGGACTAATCTGAGTTCTGTAATGATCACTGTACTATTTCCATATCAGTCTGAACAGTGAGCAGGAAAACGTTTAATTAAAAGCATCGGCGAGCCTCCAGTGACTCAGCTGTAATTTCCAATTCGCGTTTTATGATTCTTTGTAATTGGTTGAGAAATTTGATTTCCCTGCGGGACGTCATGAGCTGAGGAGAGGAAGCTAAAGAACTGGAGGATGAGAGCAGAGGAGAGGAAGGAACCAGTGAGGGAAGGCAACAAGTGGTTGGCTGTTTAGACCCTAAGACCTTATTGCTCTCAGCCAATGACTGCAGAGATTATTCCTCTTGATCTAATCACACCACCCCCACTATCTCTCTCTCCCTTCAGCTGGCAGGAGGCTAAAGGACAACAGCACTGTCTTTATCTTCCTTCTGTCTTCTCTCTGAAACTCTCCCTCGTCCTTCTCTTCTGTCAGGATGTTTGACTCTCTGGACTTGCACCAGATCTCCTGTTCTTTAGGAGTTGGGGTGGTGAGTTAGCCAGTTAGCCCTTCATTAGCCTGCTCTACGGAGACATGCTTTGCCAGCTTACTAGCTTACAGCAGTCAGCCTTTTAGCCAATTAGCTAGTCAGCCTGCTCATCTTGCTGTTAGCTGGCAGACCGTGAACTGTTTTACTTGCTCACCTGTATTATTCTGTTTCAGTGACAACAATCAGCCTCATTCCATTAAAGTATATGCATTCCATTTAAAAGAGAAAGACATAAAGGGCAGGATGAGAAAATCACTACAGAAAAAGTAGAACTTCAAAAAAGAAGAAGAGATTCATTTGTTTAAAAATAAATTAAATTTCATTGTCACTTTTTTAAACGAATATTAACGTACTTCAAGGAGTTTCTAACTGGTTATGAGACATCTCCGTTTAACACCGATGCCTCTATATGACCCTCTGAGAGCAGGGATGGTAGAACAAGGTAGACAGTGAATGGGAGTGAGGGAGCACCGTCCCGAGAACAGAGAACATGCATCACAAAAATAAAACGTCTGTTTCAAAGCGGTTACGTTCTAAAGCCCCTCCGCACAACCCTGGAGAAGGTGAGCATCGCCAGAGACTCACATAAACCTCCACACGAATACAGAGATCTGCTCCCTACGTTCTTATAGAGTCCCGACCTCTGACCCTGCAGATACAGACACCAACACACACTAGGTACGGAGTTTTTAATAAATAAAAGGAAAAAACAAGTTCAACAATGCCCAAGGACAAAGTGGGGTTTGCATTTCATCTTCTATGTCCCTGTATTATCCTTAGATCTCTCTTCATCCATTATTTAAGTCTCTGGGGTTCCTGTTTTTAGCTTTTGCCTTTTTGGAGACGAACATTTTCCAGAGCTACAGGGATGAAAGTGTGTCAGCATTTTCAGCTCTCTGCAGCTCCTTCAGTGAGCAATCTCAACAAAATACCAAGTCCTGGTTTGGGAATAGTTAGTGCACATGTGAGGAAGCTTAAGATCCATTAATAGACTGTCAGGTGTTTTCATGGTCCGTTCATTAAGGAGATTACTGGACACAACACCTCAGCCCATTAGCCAATCATCTGCCCGTCCACGTTTCTGTCTGTAACAGAATAAATGTGTTTGATTACACAACCACACTCCTGTCTGACATGAAACCATCAATCATCAACAGATCCAGCTTCATTTGTTGTCTTTACTCGAGTTAAAATGGAAGTTGGGATTATAGAAACCCCCCCAGGGTACATGCCCCCGGGTAAAGTGTAATGAGTTCCCCCTCTGGGCTCTTGTTTGTTGTGCTGACATGATGGTGTTTATTTGTTGTATGTCGTGTTGTTCAGGAGCATGATGTGGAGACGGCCCACGGTGTGCTGCACGTTACCATGAGGGGAGTTGCTAAGGGCAACCGACCCACAATCCTCACCTACCATGACATCGGACTGAACCGTGAGTAAACATGCATACACTATACATACCACAGTGGCAGTACAGACAGAAAATACATGAGAAACAAAGACTTAACTGTGTGTGTGTGTGTGTCTGTCTGTCTGTCTGTCTGTCTGTCTGTCTGTCTGTCTGTCTGTGTGTGTGTGTGTGTGTGTGTGTGTATAGATAAGTCTTGTTTTAACAGCCTGTTTAACTACGAGGACATGCAGGAAGTGACGCAGCATTTCTCAGTTCTGCATGTTGATGCTCCAGGACAGCAGGAGAATGCTCCTGTATTCCCCACTGGGTAACTAACACACACACACACACACACGGACGCACGCAGGCACACACAAACACACACACAGACACACACACACACACACACACACACACACACACACACACACACACACACACACAGATTAAAGCAACACTTTCACCATCCTCTGTTGGGTATAAACACTCCTGTACACAAGTCCTCTACGTTTTCCATTGGGTAAAACTCTCACACCAGTGTTTTCCCCAGGTTACGACGTAGTTTGTTGGTTGTTGTTGTTGTTGTTGTTGTTGTTTACAGCAGAGCTCAGAGAGTCACCATCAGATACCTGTTGTGTATATCTGCAACAGAACAAGTTGTGTTTCAGACAGAAAACAGTGATCTGATGAGAGGAGTGGAAATAAAAACCTCAGGGAGTGACGGAGGACTCTCCTGTGTAAAATTAATGTCTCTCAGTAAAACAAACAGGAACATATTTTGAGTGCTGCGGGTCAAGAACACCCAATGAGGAAATACAACATTACATAATACACAACATCCAGGCAGGAAACATTGAAATACATTCACACAGAAACACAATCAGCTACATTAAAAGAAGCACCAAGTACTGAAAGTTGAGGACTGAGTTGGTGTTAGTGGTAGCAGGTTGTGTGTTTTCAGTTCCTCTTTTAAAACATTCAGAGCCACATGGTTACATCCTCCTGCAGACAAATGACATGAAAACTACCCAGTATGTTCTTCAGCGTCTACCTGAGACAGTATTGATCACTGTGTGTGTGTGTGTGTGTGTGTGTGTGTGTGTGTGCGTGTGTGCAGGTACCAGTACCCCACCATGGATGAGCTGGCTGAGATGCTGCCGTCTGTCCTGACACAGCTTCAGTAAGTCTGCAGTCTTCCTTACAATGCATGATGGGTATTTTAGTAGGAAGTATCAGACAGACAGACGGTTGGTTGGTTGACCCTGATGTGTGTGTGTGTGTGTGTGTGTGTGTGTGTGTGTGTGTGTGTGTGTGTGTTGTGATCAGGGTGAAGAGTGTGATTGGTATCGGCGTTGGAGCTGGAGCCTACATCCTCACCAAACTGGCTGTGAGTACATCCACTTAAGTGATTTGTCAGCAGACTGAGAGTTAAAGTTCAGAGGTTCTGAGGTTCAGAGGTTCTGAGGTTCTGATGGGACCGACTGACAGTGAACCCATCAGTCAACTGTGAGCTTCAAAAAACTTAACCCAGACTTCTGCTTTCTGCCACATCGCTTCCTTTGATGATGATGATGATGATGATGATGATGATTGCTGTTGTGTTTCAGCTGATTGAGCCCAGTCTGGTTGAGGGTTTAGTTCTGATCAACATTGACCCATGTGCCAAGGGCTGGGTGGACTGGGCTGCCTCTAAGGTGCGTCTGTCTCTCTCTTTGTCTCTCTGTCTCTCTCTTTGCCTCTCTGTCTCTCTCTTTGCCTCTCTGTCTCTCTCTTTGTCTCTCTGTCTCTCTCTTTGTCTCTCTGTCTCTCTCTTTGTCTCTTTGTCTCTCTGTCTCTCTCTGTCCCTGTCTATCGTCTATATCTACGTCTATGTCTATGTCTGTATCTGTTTACTTTTAAGCACTAGAAGCTGTTGATGTTCTGTTGAACTGTCCTTTGAAAAGTTAGAAAAAATGCCAGTCAGTATGTAATTAGTCAGAGCAGCCGAACTGTCAGTTAAAGAGTGAGATTCAGTTATAAGTGTCCATCAGTGTCTAAGCCATACGATTAGTTTCAATGGTCTAAATACATTTTATATTAAATTGTGATGGTTTTGTTTGCTGCAGCTGACCGGCTGGACGAGTAACCTGGTCGACATCATCATGGGACACCACTTCAGCACTGTGAGGACAAACAGCTTCTTCTACGAGAACCATATATAAGAACGGGTAGTGAATCTGAACTGTTAACTGTGTGTGTGTGTGTGTGTGTGTGTGCGCGTGTGCAGGACGAGTTAACAGACAATACGGAGATCATCCAGACGTACAGACTCCACATCTCTCAGGACATACCGCAGGATAACTTGGCCATGTTCTACAACAGCTACGACGGGTAGGAAGCTGCAGACGGTGGCCTGTTTCTACAGCCAATCAGCTCGTAGTGAAGTCAGTTACACGCTGTCAGCTGGTTGAAATGGCAGATAGATGGGAGAAATTGACAAAAGGAGGGATATATCTACTGTCTCAACTTCATGGCACAAATTTGCTAAATTTAAATTCTCTACCCTCTTGTTTTTTAAGGTTTCTCAGTTTCATCAATACTAGAATTGCAACTGTAACTCACTGTATGACATAAATATCCAGCTAAAAAAAAAAAGCCTGAAAAGCTGACAGACCGGAGGTACATAGAGCCGTTGCTATGGAGACGATACACCGTCTCGTGTGGTTGCGTTGGTGCAAACTGATCTCAGCTCATCTCGTCCTGAATCTTTAGTCTGAACTGGGTTTCCAGAGACAGGAAACTAAATATTACAGCTTAAGTAGAACTTCAGACCATAAACCTGTGTTTATGTATTTGTGTGTGTGTGTGTGTGTGTGTGTCAGTCGTACTGAGTTGCAGATGGAGCGGCCGGTTCCGGGTCTGAATGAAAACACAGTCACTACACTCAGGTATCAGCTGTTCTTTCTTTCACTTATTTAGTATTTAGCATCATTTCCACACATTCTGTTACATCCTGTCAGACTAACACTCTGTGTGTGTGTGTGTGTGTGTGTGTGTGTGTGTGTGTGTGTGTGTGTGTGTGTGTGTGTGTGTGTGTGTGTGTGTGTGTGTGTCAGGTGTCCTGCTCTGCTGGTGGTTGGAGACACGTCGCCTGCTGTTGATGTCGTGGTGAGTGTCTGCCCTGTTTCCATGACAGCAGCCAATATGTGACGTCACATTGTTGTGAATACATTGTGTGTGTGTGTGTGTGTGTGTGTGTGTGTGTGTGTGCTGCTCTGCATTGCAGGTGGAGTGTAACTCCAGACTGAACCCTACCAAGACCACACTGCTCAAGGTACCTGTCTGCCTTTCTGTCTGTCTGTCTGTCTATCTCTCTCCGTCCATATCTGTCTGTCTCTTTCTTTACCTGAGTATCTGTCTCTCTCCTCTCACCTGTCTATCTCTTCACTGTCATTTGTGATGTTCAGCAGTGATGAAATGTTGTCTTTTAGTCTTTCTGTTGTAATCCGGAGGTTCACAGAAGCCTCAGTGGGTCAATTCCTGTGGGTTGATTTATTTGTGGACTCACACACACACACACACACACACACCACACACACACACACACACACACACACACACGTACTTAAATATCCAGTGTGTAACATTGAGGAGGATCTGTATTATAATCACCTGAATGTAAGAATTGTGTACTGTAGTCAGTTCACCAGAGACTGCAGCCAAGCACGCCACAAAAGTGAGCTAATGCGGAGTGTCTCACAAAGTTTTAACAGTGTCAGCAATATTACACAGACATCTGAATATGGAGAGAAACTCCCCAGCAGGAAGTCAGTGGTATACTAACTATTATATTATATATACTATTATAGTTCATGTATCTGGGAGTGGATACTGTGTTTATTATGTGTAGTACGTTGTGTATTAAATGTTGATGGTGCGTCAACTGTAAACTGAAAGTTTGAGCTGTCATTGTAGCTTCTAGAGGGGCTGTTCTCACCAGACGTTATTCTTTGTCTCTCCACTAGATGGCAGACTGTGGGGGGCTTCCTCAGGTGGTGCAGGTGAGTCTGAGCCACTGAAGGCCTGAATATACTCTCGAACTAATGCGTACACGGACAGCTGTTCACACTGCGTTCTGGAGTCTGATTGGACGTCGTGTTCTCCGCAGTGTAGTGGCGGTGCAGTCAGTCAAATGCACAGCTTTCGCCTGCACCCTTTGATGACAGAGTTTACGTCATGCGGACCCTGGCGTACTTTGAGGCTGTTCTGTAAATAGTTTTCTAATAAATATAGCAACTTGTGATCGACCCATATCAGTTTGAGGTTTGCATTACCACAGTTAGGGTTTAAGTACAGATACAGATCATTTATTTGGTTGAACAGATACAGATAACGGTGTACTCACTCATCCTCAGCTGAACTGCACACTCAGTAACGACTAACATGAACCTCACTGCCAGACGTCACTAAATCCCACACTCTGGACCTTTTCAAAACATCGTCAGTCTGACTGAAGTGTGTTTTCTTTTTCTTTCCTCAGCCTGGAAAACTAGCAGAGGCCTTCAAGTATTTTGTCCAGGGGATGGGCTACAGTGAGTATCTTCTAATGCTTCTGTACATGTAACACACCTCTGTAGCTTTTTAGTGTTTAGCTTCTTTTTTTGTCTACAAGTAAATCTTTGAGAAGACAAACTAAACTTTCTTGAAATCCTTTTTATTAACAAGAAAAAGCAAAGTTAAACTGACACACGGCTTGGACTGAGTTTGATTCTGTGAGTGTTATCTTAACTTCCTGTCTTTGTTTCTTCCCGATTTCAACTAATGCTGATATACATTACCACTCTGAATCTTGTCTGAATTAGATTTTTGTGTGTGTGTGTGTGTGTGTGTGTGTGTGTGTGTGTGTGTGACAAAAATGTGTATTAATTTTAGTAATGGTGAAGGTGTTGTTACTTTTAGGTTAGTGTTAGGTCCCGAACGGAGCTGCACTCAGAGAGACTCCACTGATGTCTGTAGAAGCATCTGCAGCTATTTTCAGTTTGACCTCAGCTGTTTGTGTTGTGATTATTTCTGTCTCAGCAACATCCAACAATGCTGCTGGTACTTATTTTTATAATACTAAAACATTAAAGCAGCTGCTCATTCAATGTGTGTGTGTGTGTGTGTGTGTGTGTGTGTGTGTGTGTGTGTGTGTGTGTGTGTGTCTACAGCCTGCCCCACTAACTGTAAGTAGCAGTTTGCAGTGTGGGACACTACACAGCAGTGTATGAAGCAGTTGGATTCATCAACACAGATACATGCTGTGTGTGTGTGTGTGTGTGTGTGTGTGTGTGTGTGTGTGTGTGTGTGTGTGTGTGTGTGTGTGTGTTTGTGTGCTGCCTCTTATTACCTCTCTGCTCTTCTTCTCTCTCTCTTTGTCTTCGTTTCCTCAGTCCCTCATGTTGTATTAAACCGCCTGAGCAGCCAATCAGGTATCAGGATTTCAACCAGACTCTTCCACCTCCTCGCCTCCTTCCATTTCCATCTTCATTTCTTTTAATCCGTCCCCCCGTCTGTCTGTGCGTCTGTCTGTGTGTCTGTCTGTCTGCATGCTGTTGATCACACTGATTTTCTCCCCTCTGCAGTGAGAGTGACCAGCAGGCTGCATGCCAACACACTGTGGCTCCGTTCACACTGCAGACACACAGGCTCCATCCTCAGCTGCTGCTCATATCTGATCAGCTGTAGGAACAACAACACATCATACCTGTTGGCCACTCCCACTACGGGACTGTAGGGGCCGCTAACCTGGAGAACTTCATACTGTTATATGTATTTATATAAATATAAATATGCTGCTACATTCTAATAACAGAAATCAGTTGAGCACATGAAGCATTTTCAGTAAGTTGCAGTAACATGATGTCCAGTTTACATGTAATTCTGACTCCTGCATTACTCCATAGTTACTTAATATTTCCAACTCTAATTTACCTGCAAGCAGAACCGATGGCAGCGACTGTATGTTCAGTTACGGGTTGTTGAGTTCCCGTCGTGGAAAAAGGCCTAAATATTCTCAAGTTCTAACTCAGATTCACATTTTGCAGCTTTCTGTTCTTTCTGTCCTGATAAAACTTTAAAAAATGTGACTCAGTGCAGCTTTTCTTCTGTCGACACTGAACAGAAAATATTTGGCGCTTCAGTGTGAACGGAGCCTCAGACTCACCGTCATCAGATTTGAATCCAGCCGCTCGCTCAGTGTGGACGATTCAAATCAGCACATGCTGGTTGGACAGACACATGAACCAGCTCCACTCTGCTCACACTCACATTCATGTCTTTCTGCCCCCCCCCTCCCAGTGCCCACAGCCGGTATGACCCGGCTGGTTCGCTCCAGGACTCACTCGGCCTCCAGCGTCGGCTCCACAGACGGCGTCCGGAGCCGCAGTGCCACCAACACACTGCCAGAGGGCGCCACCTCCACCAGCCCCGAACACACCGCGGCACAAACCATCCAAATGACTGCGTAGGACTGTTCCCGCTCTCTGCTCTCTCTCTCTTTCCTCCTCTCCTTCTGCTCCTCTCCTCCTCAGACGCTGTGTGCATTCGGGACGCAGATAAACAGTTCTACGTTGTCTCATGTAACACCATATAAAGTAGAGTCGTCAGGAACCTTAAATACCTTCAGATCTTACCGCTGTCAGCGGCAGCCATGTTGGCTCGACTGTCCTGTACTCTTTAGGATGCAGATGTTGGTTTGTACTTGCACTCCCTCCTCCTCCCCCCTGGAGCCACGCGGTTGCCGTGGTGACTGTAGATGTAACTGTACATGGAGTTCAGCTGGTTCTTTATATACAGACCAGGTCATCATTTCTCTTCCTTTAGTTTGGTCCTGATCTCTTCTTCTTTTCATTATTACGCTCTTATTATAATCATTATTCTTTTGTTCTGACTGTTGGTGACGGTGGTGGTGGTGTCGGTCGCTATGAAGCTCGTTTCTGAAATTATGAACTCTTTTCCTACCCATAAGATTACAGTAACTTTAAGGGAATATTTCAGTTAAAATGTAGGTGCACGTGGGAAACGACCCTGGAGTGCCTGACAAAAGATCTGCTATTTAATAGGAGAATTTGAAGGAAGAACTGGTTAACAACAGCAAAACAATATCAAAATATCCATAAAACAAATACAAATAACATGTAACCAAACATCAGGGTTGTAAACTGACAGAAAGCGCTGTAGTTCGTGTAATCTGTCCGTCTTCAGTCGCTGCTTCACTGTCAGCACTTTACACATCAGCCTTGACGTATGAACACTGGAGCCACAGAGATAAGCATGTCAGTGTGTTTATTGTGAAAAATAAAAACCCCAGAAGGCACTGAATCCTGTTTGATTACAAAAATATCTCATCCGCTCAACTTCACTATTCCAAACTAAGACAGAAGCTGGAAATGTCAATCTCCTTGTCAGTTTGTAGAACGTGGACCAAAGTTAAAACCGTTTTATTACTTGTATTTGTCTTGATGTTACTTAAAATTTATATACGAATAAAGCTGTTTACATTTAGTGTTACAGAAATAGACCAATGAGATGTGTCAGACAGAAAGTGGCTTAAAAAAATATGTTTATTGTGCAGCAGACATCCAGACTTTAGGAGGCTTTGAGGATTCCTGAATACTTTAATAGATTATGTTGATAACTTTTACATTTTTCAGAGAAAGTAAAGTTTAGTTCTGTCGTTGTCGGGATAATCGTGAATATCCTCACGAGAGAGCTTTCTAGCTCACTAAAGTACAGTCTGATTTATTTAATAAGAGTCCACATCTGTGTAATCATTACATTACTCAGCCTGTCACTGTGGCTGAAGGCTCCACACAAACACTTCAACCTGATGTGGCCACTCCACTATGTTTTAATGCTGTTTTAACAGTATGAAGTACATTTTGATTATTTGGGATAAAATAGTGAATTTCTGTTATTTGGCTCAGGATAGTTGTGAGAAGAAGTCTCCGTGTTGTCCCGTGGGTAGCTCTGTAACTCGACTGTAATGTTAATACATGAGGCTCGAACTGGGACTGAACATGTTTAAGAGTTTCTTAAGATTTGATCTCATTTCTTTTTGAATATTAGTCACATTATAGTGAATATCTGAGAGTGTGAGACTGTTCTGCTCGTGTTTAAACAGGACTGTGAGGTTGATCCTATGGGAGGAGTGAGCAGGTCTTTGTCGGGTATTCCAGGCTCCGCAGGGTCGTTGATTTAAACAAATGATGATGATTTAAGGTGAATATTTGCTTCCTCCTCCTTTAAAGGAGATCCTGAAAGTGACCTTGTGCGTTTCTTTTCTCTTTCTGTACGCGGTTTAGTTTGAGTGGAGCTGTCAGCGCTCTCTGTTCCTCAGCAGCATGCTCGTTGTGGAGTTGTGGCATGCTACCTGTACAGTGGTTTCAGTCTCGTGAGTAACTGCTGTCGTTCAGCTGTAAACCTCCCTCTCTCTCTCTCTCTCCCTCTCTCTCCCTCTCTCCTCCCTCCCTCTCTCTCCCTCTCTCTCCCTCTCTCTCCCTCCCTCCCTCTCTTTCTCCCTCTCTCTCTCTCTCTCTCCCTCTCTCTCCCCTCTCTCCTCCTCCCTCCCTCCCTCCTCCCTCTCTCTCTCTCTCTCTCTCTCTCTCTCTCTCTCTCTCTCGTCAGCTCAGAGACAGACACAAACACCTCCATGTTAAAGAAACACAGCGTTTCTTCAGCTAGTTTCTGAAAGCTGCCAGCAGGGTTGTCGGTTGAGCTCGGTTTCTGGTCCGAGGTCCTCAGTGTCTTTAACTATCACTGAGTGTCAGAGACAGACTGAGAGGCGGCCATGTTGCCCATCCTGCTGACGTTGACGTGGTTTCGACCCCCTGCTGGAGGACTGAAGAACAGCTCCCAGAGCTCTTAAAAGAATTTCCTTAAAACTTCCCCGTTAAACAAAAACCGACTGGAACTGTGGTTCACACAAAGTCAAATATTTGGTTCTTTTATTCTCTATATACACTAACGTTTTATTCTCTATATACACTAACATTTTATTCTCTATATACTAACTGTAACTCTGCCGTCTGTTATTGTTCTTAATATTTATTACAACTATTACTTTTAGGGATTTGTACTGAAGCGTTGGTAGCTGTTCTGTTACTCTGAGGTTTGTTGTTCCCTGACTTTTGATGTAAACAAGGTTTGTAATGAAATAAAGCTCGTTACCCAAAACCCTGAATATTCTGATCATTTATTGAGCAGCAATACCGCCTGTAAAAACCTTGAAGGGTCCCGACCACTCTGGTTATATTATCTACTATATGATTGTGTAAGCAGTATTATAGTTTTCTACCAGGTCGACTGTGTCTGTGTTTAAAGTTTTCTTACAGCCCTTATAATGAACGAGAAGCTTTGGTGACCCCTAGTGGGAATCTCGACCAACAGATTGGGAAATGTTCGTTTTTTAAAATAAGTCTTAAATAGCTCTACAATCTGTCAGTCAGTCCATCCTTTCTGGAGTAAACAGAATATCTGCTATCCTGTTTATCCAATCAGGAGAGAGAACTCCACACAGGATCATTCTACAGCTACATACAACGGCCATTTTCACTTAAATAATAATAATAAACTTAATTTATGCAGCACTTCTCAGAAGGTTGAACCAGGATTAAAACATTTCAGGATTGCAATACAAAAGTACGACGGAGTATTAGGGCCATACTTTTTTGGGGGGGGAAATTACGAGAATAAAGTAGTAATTTTATGAGAACTGTCAGCCTGTTGGCTCAGCCAGCAAAACTGTTTGACGACAAAATAATCAATACATTAGTTTATGTTGACTGTACGCTACGACTGAGACTGAAACAGCGACTGCTGGGCTCAGGCTGAGGATGCTGATTGGTTGAGCTGCTCACGTCAGATCTCGATAACTCTATCGAAGCTTTTTCTCATTAAAACGACTTTTACATTATTCTCGTATTATTACGACTTTATTCTCGTAATGTTACAACTTTATTCTTGTAATTTCCCCAAAAAATGTAATTATTTTTTCTCTTAGTCTGGCCCTAATACTCTGTCGTACAAAAGTACAATCTCTAATAGAACATCAGTTGTTGGGTCAAAATGCGTCCCTTCTGGATCGTCAGTGAATCAACAAACAAACAAACTAAATGAAAAAGAGATTTATTGTCAGGCTTTAACGTCATTTAGCTTCCACAGACGGAGAGAACGTCTGCAGACAAACACTGATGGTCTGATCACAGTTCAGCTCCTGGAGGAGGGTTCAGTGTAAGACCCTCAGCATCAAACAGGTGCTGGGTTTAATGAAGAGTCTGGGGGCAGCAGTGGGTTTAACGGGGTGGGGGGGGGGGCTGGGTTCAGCTGGCAGCAGGGGGCGCTGTCTTACTGCAGAGTCGACCCAGCAGACCGGCCATCTGCAGCAGGGAGTTAACTCCTTCAGCAACCCTCATGTGAGTGTAACCGATCTCCTGCAGGAGAGAAACAACGCCACTGGGTAAGATGGTAACAGTGGATTCACTGGGACTAAAAACACCTTTACAGAAGCAATACCTGTCGATCGCCTCGTCAATGACCGTATTGATCGCCTCACCTTGATGAACTCCAGTTTGAGGTACTCGGCCATCTGGAAAGTCTTGCAGACCCTGAAGATGTTTCCGATGATGTCCTCCGGAGAGTAGCCCAGCGCCCACAGGTTCTCCACCACCTTGTAGGCCTCGTCGATGTTCCCGGCCACGCAGTGTCCCAGCATGCTCTTCACCAGCAGGGGGTGGGGCTCGTCACACACCTTGAAGACGTTCTCGCTGTTGATGTAGCCGAAGCCGGAGTTTGTAGACTGCAGGTTGTTCAACGCCTGGAGACACAAAAAGCAGGAAGTCAGCGCGACGGCCGCGTCTTTGAGCCGAGCGCCGGACTCCGCCCACCCTCACCTGTCTCATGTCTCCCTGGGCGGTGAAGATGATGGCCTCCAGCCCGTCGTCGGACACCGACAGGCGCTCCTGCTCCACCACCTCCTGCAGCCGGGCCAGGATCTGCCCGTCCGTCAGTTTGGAGTAGCGCAGCACGGCGCAGCGAGACTGGATCGGCTCGATGATCTTATCGGAGGCGTTGCAGGCGAGAGCGAAGCGCGTCGTCTTCGAGTAAATCTCCATGATCCTCCTCAACGCCTGCTGAGCTCCGTCTGTCATACTGCGAGGAGGACGCAGACGTTACAGGCGATACAAGAACGGAGGATCTCAATGAAAGGTTTCACTCCGACCATCGGCTCACCTGTCGGCCTCGTCCAGGATGATGACCTTGTGTCGTCCTTTGGGCAGCGTCACTTTCTGCTGAGCGAACATCTTGATCTTGTTCCTCACCACGTCGATTCCCCTGCAGACACAGCAGACTGTTGGCGTCTCTGTTCGTTCTGGACCGTCACTAAAGGTCCACTTACTAGATTATTTTAGTCACATGATGACGTCTCACCTGTCGTTTGAAGCGTTGAGCTCCAGCACGGCGTCTTTCATGGAGGCTCCCAGCAGCGCTCGGGCCAAACACAGGATGCTGGTGGTCTTTCCGGTGCCGGGAGGACCTGGATCACAACAGTCAGATATGATTCTTAGTGTCACTGATGAAGTTCAGATGGTCCTCTGACCCAGAGACTAACGTTACATTTTTAAGTGAATTACTGTATTACAGCTCAGGTTCAACCTTTTTTCCTCGTCCAGGTCTTCATGGTGGAGAGGAGGACAGTGTCTCACTCAGCGACACCTGATCCACATTGGATCCACATTGATCACATGTATTTTATAATCTGTGTATCACAAATTGTATACAATGAAAAAGTCAACATCTATTGTCTCCTGTCCTGAGATTGGGGGGGTCCACATGTCCAAGCACTGTGAACATAGACTGTATAAATAAAGTCCACTGGACTGCAGAGGAGACTTTATTATGAGGCTGCTGTATGAAAGCAGTGAGACAGAAAGCAGTGAGACAGAATAACGGAGAACAGGACAGAGATGGGTCGGTTGATAACTTTCTTTACTTCTGACTGTAAAGTTCAATGTTTGGAGTCAGTGGGGATCGTTTCCAGGAGAGGAAGGTCTCACAAACGCAGCCTGGCTCTCCTGTCTGTCTGTCTCCCTGTCTGTCTGCCTGCCTGTCTGTCTGTCTCCCTCCCTGTCTGTCTGTCTGCCTCCCTGTCTGTCCGTACCGACCTGCGATGATGATGTTGAGGACGTTTCCCTCCCTGTCTCCCTCTCTCCCCTCCCCCTCCCTGTCTCCCTCCCTCCTCCCTGTCTCTCTCTCCCTCCCTCCCTCCCTGTCTCTCTCCCTGTCTCCCTCCCTGTCTCCCTCCCTGTCTCCCTCCCTCCCTCCCTGTCTCCCTGTACCGACCTGCGATGATGATGTTGGGGACGTTTCCCTCCCTCCCTGTCTCTCTCCCTCCCTCCCTGTCTCCCTCCCTCCCTCCCTCCCTCCCTGTACCGACCTGCGATGATGATGTTGGGGACGTTTCCCTCCCTGTCTCTCTCTCTCCCTGTCTCCCTCCCTCCCTGTCTCCCTGTCTCTCTCCCTCCCTGTCTCACTGTCTCCCTCCCTCCCCGTCTCCCTGTCTCTCTCCCTCCCTGTCTCACTGTCTCCCTCCCTCCCTCCCTGTCTGTCGGTACCGACCTGCGATGATGATGTTGGGGACGTTTCCCTCCCTCCTCTCCCTCCCTCCCTGTCTCCCTCCCTCCCTGTCTGTCGGTACCGACCTGCGATGATGATGTTGGGGACGTTTCCCTCCCTGTCTGTCTCTCTCCCTCCCTCCCTGTCTCCCTCCCTCCCTCCCTTTCCTCCTCTTCCCTCCCTGTCTCCCTGTCTCCCTCCCTCCCTCCCTGTCTCCCTGTACCGACCTGCGATGATGATGTTGGGGACGTTTCCCTCCCTGTCTCTCTCCCTCCCTGTCTCTCTCCCTCCCTGTCTCACTGTCTCCCTCCCTCCCCGTCTCCCTGTTGATGTTGGGGAGTTCCCCTGTCTCCCTGTCCTTCTCCCTCCCTCCCTCCCTCCCTGTCTCCCTCCCTCCCTCCCTGTCTCCCTGTACCGACCTGCGATGATGATGTTGGGGACGTTTCCCTCCCTGTCTCTCTCCCTCCCTGTCTCCCTCCCTCCCTCCCTGTCTCCCTGTACCGACCTGCGATGATGATGTTGGGGACGTTTCCCTCCCTGTCCCTGTCTCCCTCCCTGTCTCCCTCCTCCCTCCCCTCCCTGTACCGACCTGCGATGATGATGTTGGGGACGTTTCCCTCCCTGGCGAACACCTCCAGCCGGCTCACGGTCTCCTCGTTGCCCACGATGTGGTTCAGTTTGAGCGGCCTGTATTTCTCCACCCAGGGCAGCTCGTAAGAGTTCCCGGAGCTTTTGGCCGACGTCTCTCCGGCCTCCGTATCCGCCTGCTGCCCGCTCTCTGTCGGCTTGTGCTCACATTCAGCCTCGGCCTCCGCCATGTCCACCTCCATGTTGTGTTACTGTCCGACAGCCCGCGAACTGCAGCGGAACCGTTTCCCTCCCTGACAACCACACGATAGTAAACTGACGCCTGATTGGCTGAGCGTTTATGGGCGATGGCGCTGATTGGTCGGCTCTGAGCGAGAGCTTCGCGCTGTAATCTCGCGATGTTTACATCCACAACAATCAATATAAACACAATAATAATTAATCATTAATCATTAACAAACTATGAGTTTATATTTTATTTGATTTATATTAATATTATTTTATAATTTTAAAAAATCGCTCTCATTCAGAACTTGTATATTTAATGTAGATTAATTATTAATTAATTAATTGAATGAATTTTAAATGTAATATTTGTAAAAAGGTTTTCCATTTATTTATATTTATTCATTTATTTTTTACTTACTTGTGTTTCTCGTCTCTTAGTATTATTTTGTTGTACTTTTATATTTGTGTGTAATAATGTATATGCTTCATTTATTTGGAAAAAAATAATTTCTTCTTATCAACAAACTGGAAGATTTTCTCAGAGTTTTTTGTATAAATTAAAAATAATATTAAAAGTATAGCAATAATACTATCTTAAAGTTGATATGATGATCTTCCAGTGGGAGTCTGTGTCCAATACATTAAAATACAATTATAAAAATGGATTAATGAAGAAAATATTACTAACTCGTATGATGAAATGTTGAGGAAGAATTTAATATACATTTCTTATATATTTATTGTTTTTATTATTAATTTAGTTACAACAAAACAGCAAGTAAATAAATAAATAAATAATACATATACGTAAATATACAAACTAGTAAGTGAATAAAAGATAAAAACATAATAAAAAGAAAACAATAAAACAAAAACAGATCCAACGTGAGGTTTTACTTTAACTCATTTACGAATATAAATAAAAATAAAAATAACAATAATATATAAAGAGATTAATTAGTACACGTTCCACTACGCAGAGAGGATGTAAAAACATTTATAAATGTATTTATTAATAAAATAAAATAAAATAAAATAAAACATTGATGAAGTACGGCGGCTTTAAACCGGAAGTCGTCATCGTCCGCCCCTCAACCACTTCCTACTTCCGCAAACACAGCTCCGGTCCGCTTCCGGTTGATCGGTTGATCGATGCGGCGGTTGATCTGCTGCCTCGCGCTTCCCGCCTCCGGTTGATGTCCTCCAACGGCTCCGACACACAGCGATCGATCGGAGCGTCGATGACGGCCAACAGCCGCTGCTCGGCCGCGGAGCCTCCGGGCCTGGAGAGCCAGCGGCGGGAGATCGAGTCCCTGCTGCGGGAGTGTGAGCTCCGTGCGGGGGACAGCTGGTGAGAGTCCGCCCGCAACACACGCACACACACACACACACACACACACACACACACACACACACACACACACACACACACACGCGCACAGTGACAGGGCTAGCTGTTAGCATCACACAGCTAGCGTTACCTAACGGGCTTTAACAGCTTTGGCGGGTTCAGGCCGCTGCGGGGTCGGGGGGGGTTGTTGGGACACTTTAACGGCCCGGTGCTCGGTGTCCGGTGCTCGGTGTCCGGTGCTCGGTGTCCGGTGCTCGGTGTCCGGTGGTAGCCGCTGTTGCTGCGTTAGCTCGTGCTAACCGGGCAGACGTTAGCCGACGCTGCTAACGCTAGCTTGTCAACCAGCTGTAGGGATGTGTTCAGGGTCGCCTCGGAAGATTCCGCTTTTGATTCACCGGAGCTGGGTTTGCTCCGGTTCGTTCCCCTCATTGTTCACCCGGGTGACTCCACAATAATGACAGATAACGGGTATTTTGCTTTCTTTAGCTGGCCCGTTGGTTGTATTGATTATTGATCGGCTGCTGTTTGGATGTTAGGAGGCAGGAAAGAGTGAAAAACAATCTCCCAAGGTGCGTTCAAGTTCTCGTTTTGTCCGGTTAACTGTGTAAAATCCAGTGAAAGTAACTTTACAGAGGGTACAGTTCAATATATTGTAATATATATTGATACTGTGAGCAAGGTGATATATTGTGATTATTAAACATTTAAACTAAAAACTCCAGAAAAACCTTTAATAGTATAAAAACTGAAATCAAACATCGTAGTCTTCAGTTCACTGATATCGACCAGTTGGATGTCAAAATTAAAAAATCGATCAATACAATATATTTTCTGATATTTTCTTAATAAGTCTGCTCAGTGGTTTATTGATCAGGTTTAATATGATCAGCTGATCAGATTCCAGTTCTATTCCTATCGTACGGTGTTAATATTAGGAACCGGTTCCTGTTTAAATCTGCACAGCTTTTGATGCGAAGCTTCCAGTTAATTCTTATATTCTTATTTACGTGTTGCTCAGAGGGATCTTTGTCTGGTTGAGCCACTGTACAGCGTTTTGTTGTCCAGGTACAGAACATTACTGTTAGTGTAAAGTATTAGTGTAGTGTTTATAAAGAGCGAGCAGTAAGTCGTGTTACTTTACGAGCTGAGGGTTGTTTGACGGTTGGATGCCGATAATGTTTTAATCAGTGTTACATACGGTTCATTACAGCGTCCTACTGATGCTGCTGTCGCACTGTTTTGCCTCCGCTTGCTTTAATTCTCTGTTTCACTGTCAACACCTTTTATAAATCAGAGTGTGCCAGGAACCCTAAACACATCACTTTACAGGGTGAGTTTTACTGCCTGTGATAGTCTCTTTATGATCTCTGCTGTGTTTGAGTCCGTACGCAGTTACAGGAAACCCGAGCGAGATGGACTGATAGAAAGATTGTTTGGCGTTTATCTGTCAGACTGATAAAAGAACAATGAGATCCAGAACTGACTGAACGGGACCGAAGGAACTCTCTAAGATTCGGGGCTGACTGCTCGCCTTGTATCAGATTTACCACTCATGAAACGAGGTGGAGGTTGGATCTATCGGCAGTGATCGTTTTCATTAATCGATCAGTCTATAAAATGTCAAATAAATGCTCGTCACAGAATCCCAGAGCCCAAAGTGACGTCTTCAAACCGCCTTTGTCCAACCAACAGACTCTTCATTTACATTGTGAAAGAAAAGCAGCAGATCTTTAAGTTACAGAAGCTGGAAGTAGAAAGTTCGACAGTTCAGCTTAAAGAAATGGCTGAAACGATGAATCAGTAACAGCAGTTAGTAACTCCTGTTGTGCTGTAATATCGGCATTTAGGACTGGGTGATACGGGTTAGACACAGTTGATTGGTTGATATGCTGTTATAAAATCAATATTTTGGTTCCTGGTTCATCGTTTGACTTATTGTTCAAACAAAAATACTTAATTTCACCTTTTTGTATTTGAAAAAGAAGTTCCTTACCTGTAGTCGATGAAGTGAGCAAATATCACCCTAGCTAATTTATCACTATTATTAACACAACAACAGACAGTTCTGATTCTTTAAGTGTTCTTTTACTTTTTCTGGTTCATTAAAAACTTGACAGACAGGACAGGCAGGCAGACAGACACACGGACAGACAGACAGACTGCTGAGTTTTCAGGTTTATTAGCTGCTGTGGCTTTGGGGTTGTGGTTGGAGCTGAGTTTAGTTGTAGTTCCTGTCACTGCGTCTGGTTTTATTCTGGCTCGGGTGTTTTCAGTCGGACTCAGAGACATCAGTGACGTCACATTACAGGACGTTTTACATCGAGCTGCAACAACCTGATGTTTTATACCAGAATCGTTAAAGTTAATGTGTTTCAGTGTTATCAGTGTCATAAATATCAGCCTGTTTATGACGTCACTGACCGCCTTTATAAAGACCCGTGTTCTCGACAACCGTGTGTGTGTGTTGCAGGTACGTGGTGGAGCGCCGCTGGTATGAACAGTGGAAGGAATTTGTGGAGACCGGAGACCAGAACTCATCGTCCTTCCCCGGTCAGATCGACAACACTGAGCTGTTTGAGGGTCAGTGAACGCCTCGTGACGTCTCTTCCACTTCTTCTTCTTCTTCTTCTTCTTCTTCTTCTTCTTCTTCTTTATAACTTGCAGCTCGGACCTTCGACTGCAACAACAACCACCTGAGAACAAACTCTTTTGAATGTTCTGTCTGTGGTTTGCTTTATAAAGGTTTGACACATTGAATCACCGCACAGGAAATTCTGCTTTGTGTTTATTTAAAGCTTAAATTCAGACAAATGCTCGTTCGCTGATGTTCGTCGTCTTTGTTTTTAGTTTCCCTGCGTTCTTCTAAATGTTCTTTGAGATTTCTTCCAGCCTGAACAAAAACCCGACTCTTGAACCGACTGTACCTGGATCAGCTTTAAGACTGTGCCGTCCTTTATAACCAGTGGTAATGACCGAAGCGTCTCCTGTTTCCAGATCTGGACTCGTACCACCTGAAGGAGCGCCTGGTGGAGAACGAGGACTTCATGCTGGTGCCGGCTGAGGCCTGGCACAAGCTGCTGGCCTGGTACGGCATGGTGGACGGTCAACCACCGCTAGAGCGCAAGGTAACGCCACCTACACGCCAGATACACGCCAGATACAGCTCCTGGTGTCATTCAGTGTTTCTGGTGATCCTGGGCATCAGACAGTTAACTTGTGTGTGTGTGTGTGTGTGTGTGTGTGTGTGTGTGTGTGTGTGTGTGTGTGTGTGTGTGTGTGTGTGTTGTTTCCAGGTGGTGGACCTGCCCAGCACTCTGAAGGTGGAGGTTTACCCCATTGAGATTTTCCTCTGTCTCCATAGCAACATGGAGAACGTCATCAACGCACAGTTCAGCCGCGTCGACAATATACGTGAGTCTGTGTGTGTGTGTGTGTGTGTGTGTGTGTGTGTGTGTGTGTGTGTGTGTGAGAGTCAGTCTCCATAAGTCCTCATATTAAAATGTCCAACAGCAGAAATGAACATGTTTACAGCCTGGTACAGTAAAACAATACTGCTCTCTGTAGATAATCTCCCAGTTCATGTCAACTGTACGTGAAGTGAACCTTTATATAACTCACCAGTTTAATTTCTATAAAGGGTTAATGTTCTGAGTAATTAGGTGACAGGTGTGTGCCGTCAGTAACCTCAGCTCCACCCACACACGAGCTTTACAGCGGCTCTTCAGAAACCTGTGGGTGACGTCACAGAGGCTACGTCCACTTTTAATCATACAGTGTACGCTTGGAGACAGTGAGTCATCACAGGCGAACTCTGGGCACAAACGCGCTTTAAATTTTGCAATTTTTCTCAATTTATTGTCATCCTTTGGTGTGTGTGTGTGTGTGCGTGTGCGTGTGCGTGCCTAGAGTCCATCCAGAGGGCGATGTGCGAGGCCTTCTCGGTGCCTCCGGGCTCCGAGTGCCGTCTGTGGATGAAGAGTTCGGACAGCAGCTGCGAGCGTCTCAGGAACGTCCACATAAGCGTGCTGGACGCCTGTTTGAGCTCGGGGATGGTGAGGACGGACTCAGTTCCGCGTCACAATCACAATGTGTCACTGTTCATTCAGTAAAGTTCGTTATCAGGTAGATTCGTTTCCACATGATTGTTCCTGTGAGTCAGCACATAAAACAGTCAACTTCCTCATAGCAGCAGCTCTCCTTTAAAACACACTGTCCACCTCAGAGATAAGCTTTGTGTGTGTGTGTGTGTGTGTGTGTGTCTGTGTGTGTGTGTGTGTGTGTGTGTGTCTGTGTGTGTCTCAGACGGTGATTATGGAGACGAGGAATGCTGACGGCACCTGGCCAAGCTCCAGACCTCAAATCATGTAAGATCACACCCCTCTCTCTCTCTCTCTCTCTCCCTGTTGTTCTGTTTGTTTTTCTAGTTTTCTCTTCCTGTCTCACTGTCTCCTCTTCCTGTCTCACTGTCATCCTTTCTTCCCACCAGGGGAACTCTGTTGTTCTACCTGTCTCACTCAGCTTTGTTGTCCTCACTTTGCTTTCAGTTTCGTTTTCTCTGAAATCCTCTCACTCCCTCCCTTTCTTTCTGTTTTGTGTTTTACATTCACAGTCCTTTGATTTGTTTAGAGGAGTCCTGCCTTCATCACTTGATGGCAGTGTAATGTTTAACTGAAGATGATCTTAGTGTTCAGTGCTCAAGCTCATTTATTACACAACATAAGGTTGCACAGTGAAATGAAAGTGGCTGCACACACAGAGTAAAACACATCATTACATTAAGATTAGAATAGGATGACTGATAAATAGATAATAATAATATATAAATACTACTAGCATTATACTGTTTCCTCTGTGTATATATACAACTCTCAGATATCCCCAGTGAATAGGTTAGTCCTCAGTTATTCAATTATATTCCACAAAAATGTGACAGTTTCTAATGATCTCCGCTAAAATAAAATAATACCTCTAAAATAAAAGGCTGGGGAGGAATCAAAGATCTGCCTCCTCCTCCTGTTTTATTTGAACTGTTCTGAGATCAGTCGTATTCAGTCTGATCTGTTTGTCAGGAGGAACTCTGTGGAGGAGCAGGACTCGTACCGAGGACAGCCGGGAGTCTGCGGCCTTACCAACCTGGGCAACACCTGCTTCATGAACTCTGCTCTACAGGTGAGCACACACACACACACACACACACACACACACACACACACACACACACACACACACACACACAGGAACAACCTAAAGTCAGATATCATAAATAACAAACTATATTTTGAATAAGTAAACAACTGTGGAAATGCTGAGTCATGTTAGAGCTTCCTCCTCCCTGTATCTGTCTGTGTGTAATATCTCAGTGTTTAGTGGAGCTCAGATACTCAGCAGGTCCCTGGTTCTGGCTGCACTTCAGGACCAGATCTTTATACTCAGGCTTTTACTTCCTCGCTGACAGTCGTGCGTCTGTGAAGTTCTCTGACGGGATTTTATGAGACTTCAAGGTTACACGGCATCATGAAACCTGCTCAGTGCATAATTAACACCTGCTCGGTGTCAGTGTTGCTCCTCAGATTTCTACACAGACTGAAGGAACCCGGCCTCTGTCCTAAAGATCCCCTCCAGAACAATAATGTGTGTCTGATACCAAAGTATAATGTCCACATTCAAATCCTTAAAAGGTCGACCTCGTTAAGAATCTATGAATATGCAAATGTTTTCCTGCTGCAGAGAGGAAGCACTGATTTCGTCAGGTATCAGGTCCACTGTGCTTCAGTGTTAAACAGCTTCACACACTACCCATGTTAAGTTGTTGCTTTTGTGCCCCCCCCCGCAGTGTCTGAGTAACACCCCTCCTCTGACCGAGTACTTCCTGCTGAGCTCCTACCTGGAGGAGCTGAACTTCACCAACCCGCTGGGAATGAAGGGAGAGATCGCTGAGGCCTACGCTGACGTCATCAAACAGATGTGGTCTGGGAGGCATTACTCTGTGGTGCCGCGCGTATTCAAGGTACAAAACTGCAGTTACTGATTACACACACACGTCTCACACACGTCTCAGTTTCACTTCCTGAATGACATCGTAGCAAATAAAAGATCATAAAAACCCTGAAACAGCCCTGCAGTGCTTCCAGAGGTGGACTGTGGAGCAACTTCATGGAAAAAGAAAGAAGTGTTACTTTGAACACTTTGATGTAAGTTAATATTCTGGCTGATACTTGGAGCTCTGGTGTCACAGAACAGATCAGAGATCAGTGAGGCAGCAGTCTGTCAGATGAAACTCAGATCAGGAACTGAGGAGTGAAACTCAACTCCAAACCACAGAGACATTCAGAGGAGACTCAACACTGCTGAGAGCGTAACACACCGAGTGTAAATGTGGCTTTCTGTCATCAGAGCGAATCCTCTCGAGCACTCTGACGTCACAGGACGTCCGGGTGGTCCAGCGTTTTCATGGTTCCTGTTAAAAGATAGTTTGCTGCTGCTTTTGAGGACAGAAAAACAAAAACTATAAAAACCTGCTGACGAAGCTTCATGCAACACTCTGGTTCCTTCTTTTCAAAAGCGATCAGTGAGAGAGAAAGAGTCTCCATCGGACGTTACTGCAGAGCTCCAGTCTCTATAAACAGGTTAATGATGTTAATGTTTGTACTGATCATGGTGTAACTACAAACTGTAACTGACATACTGACAACCAGTAACCTAACAACCAATGGTCCTTCATGTCCTTTTGCCAGTGTGGATGTTAAATGGGTCTTAAAACGTCTCAAATGGAACCTGTTGAGGAGAACCGACACAAAGTACATGTGATCCATTATTGTGTGTGTGTGTGTGTGTGTGTGTGTGTGTGTGTGTGTGTGTGTCTGTGCGCAGACGAAGGTGGGTCACTTTGCGTCTCAGTTTCTGGGTTACCAGCAACACGACAGTCAGGAGCTGCTGTCCTTCCTGCTGGACGGACTGCACGAAGACCTGAACCGAGTCAAAAACAAAGAGTACATCGAGCTGCGGGACGCCGCCGGCCGGCCGGACCAGGTGAGCTGCTCCGACCGCACCGGAGAGACAACTGACGTCCTGCGACACTTCCTGCTCCTTTCTCACCGCTCACTGTTTCTCCTTCCTGTCCCGCAGGAAGTGGCCGAGGAGGCGTGGCGTAACCACCGCCGGCGGAACGACTCTGTGATCGTCGACACGTTTCACGGCCTCTTCAAGTCCACGCTCGTCTGTCCGGAGTGCCGCAAGGTCTCCGTGACCTTCGACCCCTTCTGCTACCTGAGCGTCCCGCTTCCTGTCAGCAAGGAGCGCATCATGGAGGTCTTCTTTGTCTCTCTGGACCCGTACGCCAAACCTGCACAGGTGACCTCCTCTACCTGACGTCAGCTGTTAGCTGTTAGCTGCATTATGAATGTAATGTAACACACTGTGTCTCTGTGTGTGTCTGCAGCATCGTGTTGTGGTTCCTAAAGCAGGAAAAGTATTTGACCTCTGCTCTGCTCTGTCAGAGATGACCAGCGTACCTCCCACACAGGTCAGAGTGTGTGTGTGTGTGTGTGTGTCTTTGAGTCACACCTGGAAATTGATTCAAATATCCTGGAATGTTTGTTAATTTGAGCCTGCACTTTATCTAATAAATATCTGAAAATGTCAGATAATTGTCTGACTGATAGTCTATCACTAGATCATCTGTGAGCTTTTAAAGGTTTACAGAGTGACAAACATTTACCACTGTACCCGTTACAAAATGTCATCTCCTTGTTATTGAAAACCTCACGATATTTCTCATCAGTCTTCCACACGTTAAATTAAACCCACCAACAGGAAGTGGGCTTCTAGTGTCACTCTTTTATCATATTTATATATCGCTGTAAACACTCAACTACAGCCCACAGAGAGTGGTTAGTTATTGACGAGGATCAGAGAGTGAAGGTGTTCACTGTGTGTGTGTGTGTGTGTGTGTGTGTGTGTGTGTTTCAGATGGTGGTAGCTGATGTGTTCAACCACCGTTTCTATAAGATCTACAACTCTGATGAATCTCTCAGCTGCATTCTGGACCGAGACGACATCTTTGTGTAAGAAAACGTCAGACTTTGTTATCAGTTGGTTTCGTGTGTGTGTGAGATGAGTCCTGAGTCCTGTGATGAGTCATGTGAGCGGCGCTCTCTGTGTTCAGGTACGAGCTGAGCGTGCTGGAGGAGCAGCAGGAGGAGCAGGTGCTGCTGGCTCTCTACCTGAGGGAGCGCTCTCACTACAGAGACTACGGCTCCGGCAGCAGCTCGTACGGCACCACGCTGTTCGGACACCCGCTGCTGCTCAGCACGCCACGCAGCAGCTGCAGCCGGGAGGCGCTCTACAACCTGTTCCTGCAGAGGCTGGCGTGAGCAAAACACACACACACACACACACACACACACACACAGATATAGAAACTATATCACACACTCTAATCAGTACTTTTACTACGTAGTTTTCTTTCTTTACCTGTTACTAAGGTGTTGCTGTGTGTGTGTGTGTGTGTGTGTGTGCAGCCGCTATGTGCGACCTCCAGATCCCTCTGAAGAGTTGGAGGAAGAGGAGGAAGATGATGAAGAAGAGGAGCTGTATAAGACTCAGACCAACGGCATCAGTGACGGTAAGGACACAAGCTCACAGTAATCATAATGATAATAATGTTTATTGATAAAGCATTAAAGTGAACGAGAGATCACAGAGAGCAGCCGTATGAAGGTCTGACAGGAAACCTCAGAGTTTTAAAAGGCTGCAACTAACATCAATTAATCTGTCCATCGTTTTCATAATTAATGGATTTATTTCTTGGACAAAAAAAAGTCATAAAATGGGGAAAATGCTGATCGGTGTTTCCCACAACCCAGTTTACTGTCAGAGGACATATTTGAGAAGCTGAAATCAGAAATGTCTTAAAAAATGAAAGTAAATAAGATTTTAAAAAAAAGGCCAACTTCTCAGAGTGAAGACGTGCTGCTTTTCTGTTCTTTGGTTAGTTAGTTATGTTGTGTGTTTGTCAGAGAGGAACAGAACAAACAACCTCACAAAAAAAGTTCCCTTTCTAGAACACAGCTCACAACCTTTGTAATAATCCCGCAGGAATAAATCAGCACCCAAACACCGATCAGTACGGAAGCCCTAAAGGGCCATGCATTCATACATTTTATTTCCTCCATTTTCCCATGATAACGAGTTAATTTTCTCGAGATCTCGAGATAACGAAACTTTGTTTTCCCGAGATAAATAATTAATATATTAACTATTATTAATATAATTAATTCGAGATCTCGAGATAATGACTGTGATATGATAACTAAACAGGTACAAATATGGAATTTTATTGTTTAATTTCTCCACATTGGTGCAGTAAAAATGCTTGATATTAAGTATACTTGTATTCTTATATGTGTAGAAGTCAAATATACCATCCATAGCCAGGAATTGTTGAGCAATATGTTTTTACAGTACCTCAAATATATGAAAAGATGCCACTTGGAGATACAAAAATGGAACTTTTGTTTTGGCATTTCTTCACGTTGGTGCAGTAGAAATTCTTGATATTAGGTATGTTTTTTATTCATCGTGGGCGCATGAAACACTTTAATGTAACATTTTATTTTAAATGTAGGTTCTTATTGTAGCCTACTGTTCTTAATACTTTATTTTGAAAACCGGAAGTGAATACGCTGTAAATTTAAGTGCGGCTGATTTGACCACGGAGATCGGAGTAACCGCAGTTATCATATCACAGTCATTATCTCGAGATCTCGAATTAATTATATCCTTATCTCGGGAAAACAAAGTTTCATTATCTTGAGAAAATGAACTCGTTCTCACGGGAAAACGGAGGAAATAAAATGTATGAATACATGGCCCTTTAGGGCTTCTGTAGATCAGACATTTAAAGACGTCACTTCTTTCTCACATTTTATAAATCGAAGTGTTTTCAGAGATTTATTTCCAGGCTCTGTGTCCGTCCCACCCCCGTCAGCAGGATCCTTACGATCCGGAGTCTACACTGGGTGTTTTATTTTGAAAGTAGACCGTATTCTCTGTTGTTCCTGTGTCTGACTTCCTGTCCGCGGTCTGAGCCCGTTTGAACGGCCCGTCGCTGTAAACCGTGCTCAGCTGTTTGGTTTTGTGTTGTTCCTCAGACGAGGAGCAGGAGGAGAAAGCTGGGCCCTCTGAGACCGAACCTCAGTGCGGTGATGTAACGGCAAACAGCCAATCGGATGGCGGCGCAACTGACGAGCCTCAGCCGAATATCAACCACACGCAACCCCTACTGGACCACGGCGACGCGGAGACCAGCAACGGGTCCCAGAACCAGACCGAGCCGCTCTGCAGCGCCGGCTCCACAGACAGCGGCGAGAACGAGAGTCCCTGTGCCAACTCTACCGGGACCGCCGCCGACACCGGCTCAGAACCACCGGCAGAGCGGCTGCAGCAGCCCTGTGAGACCACAGAGGAAGAGAAAGAGGAAGACAAGCAGGAGGAGGCGTGTTCTCCCAGCCTGCCAGCCAATGAGCAGCCAGCTAGGAGGAGGGCGTGTCGCAAGAGGAGGAAGAGTCTGTTCACCATCCAGGCGGTCAACTCCAACGGGACCACGGAGAGAGGGACGGGGGAGGGGGGGAGCGCTGTGTCCTTCGGCTGTGAGTGTGAATGCGCACACACACACACACACACACACACACACACACACTCTCTCTCTCTGGACTCTTACAATATTAAGTGTGCAGACTCTCTCTGGACTTGTTACAGGTATCTCTACATTACATTAAGTGTTAACGACACATTTTATAGCGTATACTCGCTACGAAACACACACTGAAACACACTGAAACACACACACTGAAACACACACTGAAACACACGTGTGTGAATTTCTGTTTAAATATTTTACATTGATTAATTTTATATTGATGAACTGAGCGCTGATATTCCGTATTGATCAGATCACTGTATTATACTGACTGCTGCTTGTCTGATTTAACCACACTGACTGTCTGTCTGTCTCTCTGTGTGTCTGTCTCTCTGTCTCTCTGTCTCTGTCTGTGTGTCTGTGTGTCTGTCTGTGTGTCTGTCTCTGTCTGTCTGTGTGTCTGTCTCTCTGTGTGTCTGTCTCTGTCTGTCTGTGTGTCTGTCTCTGTCTGTCTGTTAGATTCAATAAACACTGTTTATATCACTTTAACGACTTTATTCCAGTTCAGTACAGAACAACGACTGGTCCCAAAGGTTAAACATAAAGAGTTAACAATGTCTGTCTGTCTCTGTCTGTCTGTCTCTCTGCAGCTCAGCCTTATGTGGCCATCGACTGGGACCCAGAAATGAAAAAGAGGTTCTACAATGAAAATGAGGCCGAGGTGTGTGTGTGTGTGTGTGTGTGTGTGTGTGTGTGTGTGTGTGTGTGTGTGTGTGTGTGTGTGTGTGTGTGTGTGTGTGTGTGTGTGTGTGTGTGTGTGTGTGTGTGTGTGTGTGTGTGTGTGTGTGTGTTAGAGTGTGAGGAAGAGATGTGTGTCAGTGTGTGTGTGTGTGTGTGTGTGTGTGTGTGTGTGTGTGTGTGTGAAATGAAACCACGATGTGAGATTAAATCATATTATTGATCTGACTACAGTGAAGCAGTAGAAACGTGTGTGTGTGTGACCCGTCCGTTCTCTGTGTTCCTCTTCCTCTACAGAAGTATGTGAAACATGCCAGTATGGAGGTTCCTCAGCAGCAGACCACAGTGCAGCTGCAGGAGTGCATCGAGCTGTTCACCACTGTGGAGACACTGGAGGAGGAGAACCCATGGTAACACACACACACACACACACACACACACACACACACACACACACACACACACAGTTTTACATTTTAAATAAGATCGTATTAATTTACTGAAGAAATGGAGCCAAACACAGCTGTATCTGTAATCACAGGACTTTATTTATTGCGTGTGTGTGTGCGTGTGTGCGTGTGCGTGTGTGTGCGTGTGTGTGTGTGTGTGCGTGTGTGCGTGCAGGTACTGTCCGGTGTGTAAGAAGCACCAGCTGGCCACGAAGAAGCTGGACCTCTGGTCTCTGCCGGAGGTTCTCATCATCCACCTGAAGAGGTTCTCCTACACCAAGTTCACCAGAGAGAAACTGGACAGCATCGTGGACTTCCCCCTCAGGTACAAACACAAACACAAACACACACACACACACACACACACAGACACACACACACTCTGAACTGTATGTGTGCTGGTCTTGCAGAGACCTGGACTTCTCTGGCTGCCTCCTGAAGAAGAATGTGTCCAATGGGGAGCCTCCGAGCTGTTATGACCTCATCGCTGTGTCCAATCACTACGGAGGACTCAGAGACGGACATTGTAGGTCCCTTTGGTTTGTCTTTCCACTGTTTGTCAGCAACATGTGTTACTCTCTCGATCTTGTGCACTCACTGTGTGTGTGTGTGTGTGTGTGTGTGCACTCCTCCTCCAGACACCAGCTATGCGTGCAACAAGGACAACGGTCAGTGGTATTACTTTGACGACAGCAAGGTGACCTACGCCAGGGAGGACCAGATCGTGGTCAGTATGCAGACCTTTTTAAACCTGAATCTGTGCAGCTCTACAGTCGACACATTGAACCTTCATCTGACCGCTGCTGCAGTTACTGTTTTGTAATGGTGGTTGTTGTTGTTGTTGTTGTTGTTGTTGTTGTTGTGCAGACCAACGCTGCCTACGTGCTGTTCTACCACCGACAAGACAAGATCAGAAAACCAACGCTGCCCGCCCCCAGCACGAGCCCCGCCTCCTCCACCCAGCCCGCCAACGACATCACTTCCTGCAAAGAAGAGGACGCGGAGCAGGGCGCCGCCGCCGCCGCCTCCTACGTCACCATGGAAACGGACTAAAAGAACCCCGGAGATTTAGTTTAATTCGACTTTTACGATAATTAGTTCTTCGTCAGAACAACGGGCCTTTTCCTCCTCTTTATGTAATTTTAAGTTTTTGATTTTTCCGACGACACTTGAACGTTCTCTGACTTCGTCTTTTTCCCTCCGTTACTGAAAACAGAAGCACATCTGCACGCCGCCTCTCAGACCTCCTCAGCTCCTGCAGGTGGCGCCGTCTGTTGAGTTTTGGTTCATTTGGTTTTCTCTGCTCGGTAGATAAAAGACTCGATACTCAGGTAGTTTGATGCACCGGGAGCTCCTTTAGAGCCCGAAGTAGACACAACTGTACGCCATATCCGATCTCTTTCTTCCAACGTTAACGAGTTTCCGTGCTCTTTATTGGTCGGTGGAGCCCGGACTGGACCAGCAGAATAACACACTGTTATTTATTTAGTTTATTACACAATTAAAAGCCCAGAAACTTCTATATCCTTATTTTACTTTCATTAATAACCACGCTTTAAAGTGGAATCACAAAATGAACTGAGCCTTCCTGAGCTCCGCCCCTTTTGTGACGTCTGTCAGCTTCCTCCTTTCCTGTGCTTCGATATGCTACATGCTAAGCTAATCCATGTTTAAATGACAACCACATTTTTAAGTTAACTAACGATTGACGTAGACTAGCCAGCTAAAGACGTGACTGTATGTTTCTCACATTTAAACATAGATTAGCTTAGCATGTAGCATATGGAAGCACAGGAGACGGAGGCTTTCTCAACTGTTATTGGAGCACAGATGGTCCAACCCAGCTGAAGGCGGCACACTGCTTACACGTCTTCAGTCCTTTTTAAACTGAATTTCTATTTTAAAATTAAATGATTAATTCATCATTTAAACAGTTACGTTTTATAATGGATCATTTAAATCTAATTTAAAAGATGTTAAATAACATTTGGATTGAATTAATCTTGTTCTTTGTAGATTTTTTTAATTGATACATTTTTAAGTGATTAGAATTAAACAGTGTGAAAGTATTCAGCTGGCACACACCGGGCTCCGTACCTCATCCGCTGCAGATGTTTGGCTCCAACGTTCATCTGGAAACGAGCCCAAAACTTAAAGAACACCAGAGTTTGTTTCGTTTTACTCTCAATTAAAAATCCAGCTTTGGAAACAAACAATTAAAGCTGTTAAACACTTTCCTTACGTTACTTTAGTGTCTGCAGACAACGTCAATCTTTGTTTTATTGCACTCAGCAGAATTCAGTGGACCCAGGAGCGGCGTGAAGGGGATTATGGGTAATCAGGAGTGTGTTTGTAGCAGAGAACCAGATAATTTAATACTGAACAAAGCTGCCAGGGATGAGAAATTAATCTTTGTATATTTTGGTTTTGTTTTTTTTTTGCTGGTATTTATTTTTGTAATGGAATAATTTCAGCTGTCACGAGACTACAGGTGTTTGTTTTCCTTTGAGAGATTTTGATCGACTGGTGCAGGACATTGAGAAGCTTATTTTTCATATTTATAGATTAAAAAAAGGCATAAAATTATTTGAGGTAAGCCGTACAACGTTTTCCGGTCTGTGCGGAGAGACGGACGCAGGCGGAGTTTCCTCTCTGCGGTCGGAGCTCTGATTTTTAAACCGGCTCTGTGTACAGTATTTTTGTATTGTAAGAAATGTATTATTATTATCATTCCTGGGTGGAGCAGGAGGGAAGCTTGGGGTGATTTCTTTCTTTGGTCTTCCCTGTCAAATATCAGATGAAAATATTTTATTGTACTTTCAATCTTTTGATATGAATAAAAGGATGATTATTACCACACTGAGACACTTTGCTTGCTGGGAGATTTTGTGTCACAGATTTTAATTAATATAACACACTGAAGATCTTTAACACGTTAGTCCACTGGTTCTGCACTAGGTTGTGTTCACTGTCTCGGGGCTGAGGCTGAACACTTCACTGGGCGTCCAGACCGAAAACACTGACGGGGAAAGTGACGACTCAGTATCACAACAATTATTTTACAAAGACTAAGTCAATATTTTCATAAAGTTTGTTATTATGACTTACAGAATCTCTTACATTAGACGAAATGGGTTTCCATAGTTACAAGGTAAACCGTTGAAATGCTGCGTTGGCGTTAACTTATTTTCCGGGGGGGGGCTTCACTTTATTACTTGAATTTCAAAAAGCTGGTTCAAAGGTGTGTCGAAAATTCACTGTCCATAAATTGTTTTCCCAGAAACATTTAAAAGTGAAACCGAAAAGATGCAAAATAATACAGCAACATTAACTTCCAATCAATCAATAGATCTGTGACCTGAAGGTTGAACCCTGAAGGGACGAGGACCCGGGTGTGCAGTGCGGTACAGACGACACAGATCCAATCAGTGATGATGGCACCTTTTATTGAACTGTTGCACTCACTGTGTGACAGCAGCCTCGGCTGGACGGCCGCGGTGTAGAAAAGTACATGCAAAGTGTCCCGCAGGAAGAAAACATGAACGCCTGCCGTCATTTTAAAAAGCTCCTCTGACCGCCTCGCCATCCAGAAACGTCCCCGCCGTCTTCCAACACCGCCTCTGGTTCCTGCACCGCGCCCGAGAGGAACGCCTCCCTGAGAGGATTCGTCTGGTGCAGAATCTGCTGGTTCGCGGTTCTGGATCCTTTGGGAACTTTTCTAGAACTCGTCTGCCTCGCGCCTCAAAGAGCGAAGAGGATTCTGAGAATTCGTGTTCTGGAACAGTGAATACACAAAGAGTGCAAATATCTGGAAACCCCGCCCCTTTTTCCTCTGTGCTCCAATCACAGTTGAGCGAGCGCCGGCCCGTTTCCTCCTTCCTGTGCTAGCCTCGTCTATGTTGAAAAGACAACCACATTAAAGACGGTTAAATATAGTCACATCTTAATATCAGCCAAACTGCTAGTTAGTTAGCCTAGCACCTAGCAGGAACCTGACCGAGGTTTGCTCAACTGTTATTGGAGCACAGAGCAAAAAGGGGCGGGACTCAGGCCGGGCCAAATACACCAACGCCAGAGTTGTTGGAAAGCTCTGGAAAAAGTCAGTAAGTGGACCTATTAAAGATCTAGAGACTGACGTTGTTGCGTTAACGTACGTCTGACGTCTCCGGAGAGCTGGACTGTTGCATTAGTGGATTCTAGCTAAAAGTACCGTCTTCGTTTTATATTTAATATGTTTTGTTCAGTTCTGAAGGCACTAAGTTGTGTGCAACTTTTACACACTTAAAGTGAATTTGTGTAAACTGTTCCAGAACCTGCAGGTCTACGTGTTCTCGATTCCTCGGGTTCGACGGCACAGACCGAGTTCTCCAACCGTTCACAGGCGGTCCAGAGCTCGCGGGTCCTCGTAGTCCTAGAACATGGTGGACTTGAGGTCCTGGCTGAAGAAGGTTCCAAAGTTAAGGTCTCTGGACATCAGCTCCTCCTCCACGTTCTCCAACGCCCACTTGTGTTCCACGATCTCCAGCGCCTCCCACTCGCTCTGACACAAACAAACAAACAAACAAACAAACAAACAGGAAGCGTGAGTCCCAACAGTGAATAGGAGTCGGTGTCTCTGAAGACTTTCTGTATTGTGTTGTACATTTTAACTTCTCACCTTAAAAGCCTTGTTGGGGTCAGGGGGCATCGCCATGGCAGCCCCCGTCATCTGGTCCTGCATGACCCGGGACTGGTCAGCGGCTGCGAGTGGAGACGAGTTTCAATCAGTGAAAAGAACCGGACCGACTTTCATGACGTAAAGACCCTGACACTGCGGCCATCGCGGGGCATTCACTGAGCGTCTGTAGCTCTAGTTTCTGAGGTGTGTTCTCTGGTCTGTGGATTTTCTATCTAATATCTAATGTATCTGTCCTATAAGCAGCTGTTGAATCCCTGAGAGAGTTGGCAAATATACCCACAACACATCCTGGTGGCTGTGACACCACTCGTACGCTGGCGTCGTGTCAGGTCCTTAAAACTACACACACTGAGTTCACAAGTTCCCAGAATTGTATTATTAATGTTCACTAATCATTTGTGTTTCCTACCGTTGTTAAACAGTCAGACAGTGTCAGTGGGACAGACTCACCGTTGTCCTGTCCCAGAATCAGGCTGTACATGCTCCTCAGTCCAAACACATTCAGGAAGTACCAGGACGCCGAACTCACCCTGCACATTGTGGAGAGCCAGAGTGTCCAACGTTACACAGACAGACATTATCAAACTAATACAGAGCAAATATATATATATATATATATATATATTACTAATAATTATTCAAACTCAAGTTTATTTCCAGTCGTTTTCATTTAATTGCAGCTTTTATTTTGAAACATCCTTTTCCAAAACTTAATTTTCCAAATGACCCTTTAATTTAATGGTAGAGTGAGTGGTGTGTTCACTGTCTGGTGGACTTCTGTGGTGTGTTCACTGTCTGTGGTGTGTTCACTGTCTGTGGTGTGTTCACTGTCTGTGGTGTGTTCACTGTTGTGGCTGTGTGGTGTGTTCACTGTCTGTGGTGTGTTCACTGTCTGTGGTGTGTTCACTGTCTGTGGTGTGTTCACTGTCTGTGGTGTGTTCACTGTCTGGTGGACTGTCTGTGGTGTGTTCACTGTCTGTGGTGTGTTCACTGTCTGTGGTGTGTTCACTGTCTGTGGTGTGTTCACTGTCTGTGGTGTGTTCAGTGTTCGTACCAGGAGGCGTCCAGTGACAGCAGGTCAATCCCTCTCTGTAACATCGGCTTGAACCTCAGAGTCAGAGGGAACGGCACCTTGGCTGCACGACGACAACAAACATCAGAAACAAACAAACAAACATCACAAACAAACAAACAAACATCAGAAACAACATGAGTTCCACTGCAGGGTCCGACTGGGCTCTGGTTTCTGTTTTTGTTCTGTTTTCCAGCTGTGGATCGTTCCCGGTGCTTCTAATCTAATCTCTGTGTTCTGCTGGGTTGCAGCTGTAGATGGTGCTGAAACATGAGGGTCAGGAACCCACGAGGGGTCGCCAAAGACCCACCAGGGGTCGCCAAAGACCCACCAGGGGTCGCCAAAGACCCACCAGGGGTCGCCAAAGACCCGCGAGGGGTCGTGAGGCGCTCTCTTTTTAAAACTTTAAATCATATACACAGTAGATAGAAAGATAGACAGACAGACAGACAGACAGACAGACAGACAGACAGACAGACGGATGGATAGACAGACGGATAGACAGATGGATGTTCATACTGTTTCTATGCAATGACTGCGTGTCTGTGACTGTGTGTCTGTGTATGCTGCTAATGATGTTATATGTTTCTACTTATTTTGTTAGGTAACACTAGCACTTAAATTAATTCTTTATTATTTTATATTTATTGTTTTCTATGAATGATGCACTGACTGGAGAGCACTTTGAATTCTGTTGTATCTGTGACGATGACAATAAAGATCTATTCTAGATAGACAGACAGACAGATATTCCTTTATAGGACGATATCTCTGCATTTAGCTCACTTCTGTGAAGAAAGGTAAATGTAAATTGTCCGATAGAACAATGGCTCAAACTTATTAACTCTGTTTGATTGTTAAAGATGATTAAAAAATAAAATAAAATACAGACTTGTAATTGAATAAAAAGTTCCCTAATTAATTCATTACAATCTCTGGTTTTACACAACCTTCCTGCAGCTACTGAGTTCACTGTTTGGGTTCATTGTAAAGTTTTCTACCATACTAGTGTCATTAAGTTAATAATATAAGTTTTATGTCTGTCAGGAGACAATAAAGTGTCATTAAGGGTCAGTGTGATATTCTGAACTCTCTGCAGTGGAAACACAATCAGAAGGTTGTTTCCTCAGAGGACCACACACACACACACACACACACACACACACACACACACAGAAGAACAGTGAGTGTGTGTGTGTGTGTGTGTTAGATGATGATTGACAGCTGAAGAACTCACTTATGACGAATCCAGAGAACGCCCAGTTGATCCATCCACCAATCACAATCATCGGCAGGACGTTGGTCAGGTTTCCCTTCATCATGTCCGTCAACATGCTGGTGTCTGCAACACACACACACACACACACACACACACACACACACACACACACACACACACACACACAATCAATCAATCAATAAAGTCCTGTGATTACAGATAAATCTGAACTGAGACTGTTTGGCTCCATTTCTTCAGTAAATGAAAACGATCTTATTTCAAATGTGAAAGTCTTTGTAACGAGCTTCAATGTAGATCCCAAATATAACCTGTAAGACCACACACACACACACACACACACACACACACACACACACACACACACACACACACACACAGACACACACACACACACAGACACACACACACACACACACACACACACACACACACACACACACACACACACACACACACACACACACACACACACACACACACCTGTCATGGGGTTCTTGGGGACGACCTTCCTCTTGACCTTCTTGAAGAAGCCGGTCTCTGCGTCATTGAAGTAATGTTTCCTCATGGCGAAGGACTGAAACAGAGAACACACGTTTAACATGACAGAGAGATAGAGAGACAGACAGAGAGAGAGACAGAGAGAGGGAGAGAGAGAGACAGAGGCAGAGAGAGAGGGAGAGAGAGAGAGAGAGAGAGAGAGAGACAGACAGAGAGAGAGGCAGAGAGCAGAGAGAGAGAGAGAGAGAGAGAGAGAGAGAGAGAGAGAGAGAGAGAGAGAGAGAGAGACAGACAGAGAGAGAGAGAGAGAGAGAGAGAGAGAGAGAGGGAGAGAGAGAGACAGAGGCAGAGAGAGAGAGAGAGAGAGAGAGAGAGAGGGAGAGAGAGAGACAGAGAGAGAGAGAGACAGACAGAGAGAGAGAGAGAGACAGACAGACAGAGAGAGAGAGACAGACAGACAGAGAGAGAGAGACAGAGAGACACAGAGAGAGAGAGAGACAGACAGACAGAGAGAGAGAGAGAGATCAGAACAGAGATCATTTCCAGGATGTTTGGTCAGATTCCAGTTGTTTTCTCTAAAGGAGGCGTAAATGTTGTGAATGTTGTAAATGTTGTAAATTGTTGTAAATTGTTGTAAATGTTGTAAATTGTTGTGAAATGTTGTGAATGTTGTGATGTGTGAATGTTGTCCTCCAGTCGGCGTTCTGAAGCTCACCTGTCGGGGAATGTACTTTCCGTTCTCTCGGAGGATGCGGCTGCGCAGGAGCACCTGGCTGAACACAAACACCAGCTCAGGTTAGCTACAGCGCAGTCGACCAGCCGGCCAATCACAAACAGCCACAGACAGGAAGCTCCACACACACACACACACACACACACACACAGAGGAGATACACACAAACTCTGAACATTCATCAGAGGAAGAAAACAAAACAACGCTCAGTGAGACTAACGGACAGGTCCGAGTCAGAGACAACAGAAGACAGGACTCACCTGTCAGAAACCTGCTCCAGGTCCACCTTCTTGTCGCTGTGGAGCAGCTGCGTTACGTAGTGACGGATGATCCCCACGAAGAAGGTGATGAAGACGATGGGCAGGACCACCCACAGCCGAATGCTGGAGTCCAGCAGGAGCTCTGGACCGGCCATCGCTCTCTGTTCAACCAGCCGACGCAGACAGAAACACAGACGGGGGAGACGATCTGGAGGAGGACAAACAGTCTATAAATGATCAATTACTGAAGATTTAAATCGGATTGATCGTTTGTGGACAGAAGTTTTATCTGGATAACCAAAGGTCTTCATTCTGGAAGACAGCAGCACGTATAATGGTGATATCACAACAAAGAAAAGGCAGTTTAATTCCACATTACAGTCTAATATACTCCGTTATCCAGTAACACACACACACACACACACACACATATATATATGTGTGTGTGTGTGTGTGTGTGGAGACGTAGTTCTCCAGCAGCAACGATTAAAGTAATCACTTTAAATGATGAAGATGATGATGCAGTGCTCTGACAGCGGAGGCTGGAGGTCACCTTCAGCTTCAGGAAGCACTGAGCAACCTTTAATGCTGCAGGTGAGTGCAGCCAATCAGCAGCTGGTGGACACACCTGGCTGACCCGGGTCAGTCCGACCCAGAGACAGACAGAACCACCGCTGCAGTCTCATCCACAGAGAGAGAGAGAGAGACCACCAGTTTCTTCTTTTATAGCTTCTATTTAAGATTTCAGTTTATTATCGACAGGAGCTTAAAAACATTAATAACATCAATAATATCAATAATATCAATAATATTAAAACAATAAAACAATAAAAATATTAAAACATCAATAAAGATCCACTTACTCTTCGCTGCTTTCAGTTTAAACTCACAAGAACTTTAATAAATGAACTGACCCGTTAATGACAGCAGCTAACGGCTAACAGCTAACGGCTAACAGCTAACAGCTAACGGCTAACTGCTAACGGCTAACAGCTAACGGCTAACGGCTAACTGCTAACGGCTAACAGCTAACGGCTAACAGCTAACGGCTAACAGCTAACAGCTAACAGCTAACAGCTAACAACTGAAGCTCCGGTCGTTACTTTAACCAGCTGAAGCTAAGCTAAGCTAACCACTCTTCAATGACCAACCACCAGCTAACGTTATGTTGTTGTTGTGTTGTTGTTGTGTTGTTGTTGTTGTTGTTGTGTTGTTGTGTTGTTGTGCTAACGTTAGCATCAGCCCGCTTCGCCGAATAGAAAGTTAGCTAAAGATGCTAACCGGGCTAGCTACCCTCGTTACCGTTCCCGGGTCGGTTACCGGACTCTACCGGTTACCGGCTACCGGCTACCGGCTACCGGCTACCGGAGGAAAGTGTAAACGATATCTTTGTATTTGTGACGTCACTTACCACATTTATGAAGTTTCAGGATTTAACGACAAACACGTTCCGCAGTCTCAAGAAAACACAAGAAGAAGAAGCCTGTTTAACCGGAAACGTTCTTCTTCTTCTTCTTCTTCTTTGTGTGTTTTTTCTGCCGGATTTCGAGCTCACCGCCACCTGCCGACCCGGAGGACTTTATATTAGTTTAAACAAAATAAATAAACTTTATATTCTTACTGAACACGAGATAGAAAGGTCAAATAAAATAAAATACAACAAAATAAATGCAACTCTACTGATTTTACGTCACTGAATAAGAACAAATAAAGTAGAATAAAACATGATCTGGCTGTTGAGTTGTCGTTAGGTGTTGTACAGTGACACCTGCTGGCCTCCTGCAGAGGAGAGTCTCTTTACACAGAAGTACATCTGCTCCTTAGAGCATACAATATAATTCATTCATTGTTCACTGAAGTCTATTGAAGTTTAACTTCATCCTCTCCACAGACAAATGTTAAATTACATCCTGTGCAATATAATTGAAAACCCAGGATGTGATTTTCCACTGATTCTCTGATCCTGCGCCCGTCCTAAATACAGGACAGGATGTGCTCACAACTACCTTTGAAAAAGAAAAGAAAGGTTCAGGATGTCCTGCAGTATTTGAGTTCCACCTGCTGTTTGTCCAGTTTCGAGGGTTCATGTTGAATATAAACATCTGTCACATTGGTATAATCTCAGGGTTAAAGCTGCGAAATATTAGGAACTGCTCAAGACACTGGAACCAGTCTACACCAGTGAGAGTGCAGAAGTCTTACTGGGATACTACACAGCGTTTGGTACCGCGCCCACCAACAGTATCTGGCAACTATCGTCAGAGACAAGAACCTGTCTGATGGATTCACTGTACTTTTACCACATAACGGATTAAACTCACATACGTTTTCTGTTCTTAAAGGGCCGGTGTGTAGGATTTTAGTCATATAGTTGCAGATTACAACCCCCTCGCCTCACCCTCCCACTCTACGCAGGTGTGCAGCCTCATACCGCGGTGTGACATAAACTAAAACTGCATGTAAACACAAAGGTCTGATTCTATTCCAGGAAAGAATCTCCGTCACCAATGTAGAGATATTTTTATTATTCTTATTAAAACATCTGTCAGAAATCCTTCATGAACATCGTTTTCACCTCGGCTTTCTGAGCCTCCCCTGCCAGAGTTCGCCGGCCCCCCAGGGGATATAGGACGAACTACGGTGGCTGTGAGACTCGTGAAAAAAGCAAAAGGCCATATCGAGAGCGAGTGTTTGGTTTGTCTGTTCAGGGCCACTGTAGAAACGTGGTGGTTCAACACGGTGGACTCCACAGGACCCCGCTCCCCAGGGGCGGATCTAAGAGGGTGCCCAGCTGCCGACTCAAGTTGGTGTCAAATTTAACATTAATTTAGAATTTCACATATGAATTCACAATCTTTTGAAAATAAAAAACAGAAATTAACAGACATAATTTAATGACCTGTTCTGGCCACATTTTACACTCAGTGATCAACTCAAGTTCAGTAAAAAAAACAACGTATTGGAAAAATGATTTGCAAATAATACTATTTATTGATTTCTAATGCCACCTTTACATATTTCTATTCAGTGCTTTACTAATGTACCACAATTATGTAATGTTTTTTTACTTCAAATATCTTTATTTTGGAGCTTTTCCAAGCAAATATTAATATATGTGATTGAGATTAAATCAGCAAACATCTCTGCCGCCTCTCACACTCTCTCTGCTGCTCCCTCTGGAGATAAAACAGTGTGTGTGTGTGTGTGTGTGTGTGTGTGTGTGTGTACAGTCACCCAAACAAAACAGGACACATTTTTCCATCAACATGAACAGATTTTTTATATCTTTAGAGCAATAAATATTTCCACTTTTTCCATATCTCTGCAATTTCAAAAACAAAGTACAAGTAATATATATTTATATACACAGCTAAAATCTTCCATACATAATTTTTAAAATAATGTCGTCTCTGTTGACACATATTTGACACTGTACTCATACAATTTTACAAGGACTATTGCAGTCTCTCTTTGCTCTACATTATAAACAAGAATTACTTTTTTTCTCCATGAAGCGGTCCTTTGTGTTGTTACGTACAACTCAGACCCCCGGTCCTTCGCCCTTGTATAGATACACACAACACAGACTGCCTTTACACAGGAACAGAAGAATCCAACGTTTCTAACTTTATCTGAACCAGATCTGATGTGCTTTCATTTTTTAAAATGTTCCCTGTTTTGCCTGCAGCAGTCAGACCAGATCTGTTTCTAGTGGGGTTAAAAACCAGGTCTTCTGTTCCTGGTGGAAACTCAGCCAGAGACAAACTGCCCGCTGTGGAGCAAAGTGAGTACTCGCATTGTTATTTTTCATATAACGATGGTTATGTACATTCATGTTTATAATACAGTTTCATTCAGTGCAGATACTGTAATAAATACCACATGCAAACCGATAGTGGAGAGCAGACCCGGGCAGAAAAAAAAACATATTTAAATAGAGCATTTAAAGGACCATGCCTGGGTTTTTGCATGTTGTTAAACTGCATATACTGTACATTACTCCTGCAAACCATGTAATACATTTTAAATAGATTTCCTTCCTTCCAGTCAGACATTAATTGAGTTTATTTCAATGAAAATCTGCTTGCAGAGACTTCCATCCTGCGGCAGATATCAGAATGAAAATTGCTTATAACCATTAAATGTAAGAATCAAAGGTTGGTTGCTGCAAGTATTGCATTTATGAGTTTTGTTGTCAGCAAACCAACCCGAAAATTAACAAAACAAGCAAACATGGGCAGGTTCTTTTTGCATTTATTTGCAGTTGTTATTCTGCAACCGACTGCCTCGTCTTCAAAACATCCTTTACTTAAGAATTTTTTTATAAAACACAACCAAAAAGTAATGGTAAGCTAGACGTCCAAGTGTGTGTACTGGGGTCCAAACATAAATCGCAACTTTACCAAAGTCGGAGCAACTGACCAGGAGGCTGAGATCATGGCTGAATATGTGTTTGTTTGTTTACTGCCTCAGAAATCCTCCTGCACTAAAGCACTGAGGATCTGCTGATCTGCTCCGACCTCGGACCAACACCGCTGGTGCTTGGACCCCTAATAAGTGACAGATCTATCTGCAGTGACCAAAGCCCGCCCAAAGGAAGGAAAGCAATCTAAAAACTGAGGGATGTTTGTAAAAAAGGGTTTAGCAGTAATGTAAAGTACATACGCTTTGTAGCTACAACATGCAAGAGCTGTGGCATGGAGCTTTAAAATGGGAACTTTAGTCAGGATGCGCTTGATTCAGCTCGGGCACGCAGTGGAACTGGGTGAAAAGTTGTGTAATCCCTTACGAGGTAGGTTTGATCCAGTGCTCCTCGAGAACTTTTTGTTATTTCAAGTGTGTTTAGTTGACTGTTTTAGTCTGGATTAGACTGTACGGCAAAGGGCCAAAGTGTTTCTGTTGGTGATTGTAGATACATGATGGGGACCCAACGGTCCAGAATTTCTAGCAGCTCAGCATGTATTGTTGATTCGTGTGTTTAGTAGCAGAAGTGTTGCTTGCTTCCATTAAAGGTCGGTGTGAGGCTTCGTGATGATTTAGAGGTGTGCACGGGTGTGTGTGTTTGCGCAAGCATGCAGGGATGAATGAAAGTAATTATCACAGTCTGTATTAAAAATATTAGAACATATTAGTTGTATGTTAGTCACAGAAAAAATCTTGGTTTTGTTGTAAACATATTAAAAATTAAAAAGGTTTTAGTACTTCCATAAGATGCCCAAATCGGAAAAGAAAAGGGAAAAAAAATTATCTCACACTTGTAAGCACATAACAAAATTAAAAATGCTAAAAATACAAAACAGCCCAAGGAGTACGTTATGTTAGTAGAAGCTTGTCACACAACAATATTGATAATAATATCAGTAGCACACTCTAAAAAGTCAAAGGGGTTCTTCAGATTGAAAACAATAGGGGACCCAAGATGGTTCCCTGAGGAACTCCGTCACTTGATTATAATCCATGGCGGTGTTTCCACAACCCTCGAACACAAAAGGCTTCTACAAAAAACATTGAAAGGATTTTTATTGTTTCGTTTTTCTACTGAGGAACCCTAAATTGTTCAAATAGCCTGAAGAACTTTTGGTTTTTAGAGCATACATTTTGTTAATTCAAGCAATTCTGAACCTTAGTTACAGATCGATGCCGTTGGCCCCATTGAAAATAGAACACACTGTACAGTTAATATCTACAGTCGGCGCATTCACGTAATCACAGGGAAACTAAAAATGTGTCATTAATGTTTGCATTCAGAACATCAGAGGAATTTCCCATCATCCACCAGTTAAACGCTGGTAAATATGTATGTGAGGCTGACTAAACGAGCCACTGTGACAGGAAAGCAACCAGCACTGAGAGGTTTATTTCTAGTCGAAAAGTACAAATGGCTGGTAAAAGAGTTCAAATGGTCGAAGAACTTTCTACCAGCCATCATGGGCTTCCTGCCCTGACATCCGGTGATCTCGATCAAATGGAGAGAAAGAGAAAATACACTGGTATGGTTGGTTTAACTCAAAGTGCAAAAATAACGTGTAAAAATGAGTTTGTTCAAGAATATTTCGCTTAGTGTTGAGTGATGGTGAAACATTTTCTGCACTCCAGTCCTGTGAGATGTTAGCAAGTCCTTCAGGATGAAATTAGGTCCAGTTTTCAGGTTCCTTTGTGTCTTTGTGTCGGATGAAGAGGGAGACGAAGGGCTCAGTCCTTCAGCCAGATTTAAAAAATGCAGTAAATGGCTTGAAATTGGTTATCGTGGATGGATACAATCAATCAATGTATTACTAATTTAGATGCTGAATTGTCTTTATATTCCACGACGGTCGTTCTTGAACATTATTTGTTACGATCATCTGATATCTATCGGACCATCCCTCCGTCTGAAGGCACCGTATTCTCCATTTTGCAGTACAAGTAGTTAACGTGGGATTAAACTTTGTTCACCTCACTGGAAACATTTAGAAGATTTAACATCCTATTGAGAAGAGCTAACACAGTTTGAACTGCGTG